GAAAAGGACCTCAACTGTTGGGGGCAAAACATGAGCATTTTTTAGTTGATTCAGGACCAGAATCAATTTTTTTTTTTTGCAAATCAGAAAAAAACGAAGAGGCGAATCCGAGAACCAACAAATTAAATTGGTGTGGCCTTACATACAGATTGTGTGCTGCTAAGCACCAAGTTACCAGGCCAATCCTCCTACAGGGCAAACATACCTATCACTTTAAAAGCGAGCTAGCTACACAAATGATAAAGGTTTAACAATGGAATGGGGACATTACAGCATGTAATAGCTTGGTGTAATTGGGCAAATCTTGTAACAGGATAGTTGGGACAGATAAGGGGACTATGGATGACACAGCAGTTTTGTGAAGCATGATCGATGATTACAGAACACAAAGCCAAGGAACTGTTAGTATCATACAGGTCTAACCAATGACTACTTCCTTGGCTCTACATAAATGTCTTGGTGGAACAGGGTCATTTTCTTGGTTGCAAAGAACCAAGCTTTACGTCCTAACATCTCCTTTGGAACTCGTTAAAGCCTACATCTTAGCAGCAGGACTGACCTTGACCTAAAACTTAGTAAAAAGATGAATGGCTTCAAAATCAGATTTTGAAAAGATTCAGTCTGGTACAAAGCAAGAAAAATTTTCACCAGCAATTTGGAAACAATTTTTCTTGGTCCGAATCCCTTGGATAGTCAAGCACAGTGGTGACCCCATTTGAAAGTATAAATGGCCATCATGGCAGACAGAGACTCGAAGAGCTCTCTTACAGCATCAAGTTCACCCCTGCCACTTTTACTAAACACAATCTACTATCAGCTGATATTGAAGCTTCAGGAGGACCAGTTTTATCGACCCTAAGCTGTGTAGAAAATCACTAGGTCAGACAGATCCGCCTTACATGTCTATCAACAGCCCTATAGTCTGACCTCATTCCTCTAAACACTTCTGCCAGATAAAAGGATCAGATACAAACTCCTCTGCCCTTCCTATTTTCTGATCTCTGTGGCCAAGGGACTTAAGTTATAATCTAACCTCCGTCCTACCGATCCAGTGCTGCAACAAGGCTGACCCTGACTTTAAAGACAGATATTTCCAATTCTTCCCAACATACTTTCGCTGACCCCTTAAAAGATAGGTGAAGACCACAGCTGTGGATAAACTACTAGTAGCCTCCTCGACAGACCTTTGGCAGGGCAGCATTTGTCTAAGAGTGGCTTGAGTGGATTTTTACCATCTTGTTCGGGGTGAGAGAGGTATCCACAGAGAGAGAATATCGTTCTTGGAGGCATATAAACTCCCTCCGTGGCATAACTAAGTCCTTCTGCTGTATTAGAGAATCTTAGCCAATGCAAAACCCTATCTTAGCCAAGACAAAATGCTGCCAATACAAGAAGTCTGCATAGGAGGCCAGATAAAGCCTCGACTGTCACCTATCAACCTCTCAAAGTCCTGGCAGGAGCTAGCTAAAGTATCCAACTATTCCAGCCAAGTTAAACTTATAGTCATCACCTTTGCGATCATAAAATGGAACATGAATCAGTGTCACGGGTTTAGCATCTATGAGGTCAAGATTAGGTGAACAGGGATGTATTTTTTCACTCTCTCTCTCTGGAATACAGATTTCCTGTGGAATTAGAAGGGTCAGACACATGCTGGGCACACAGCGCTCGTGGTTTGTTCCAGATGTGCCTAAACGTTTGTGGGCCCTCTGGTCCACTTTTCCCTGATTCTAGGTTACTCTCAATGAAATCTGAGCCAACAGTGCACATGTACAGTAGCTTCAAACTCTACCTCTCAAGGAAATGTAATTAGGATGAAAAGGAGCAGAAATTTGTCGGCCATTTAAGTTATAAGGACCACATGGACACGACTTTCAAAACCTTCCAAACACAAGAAATTTGAGACGGGAAGTACTTGGCTTCCTGAATTCCCCCATGTCTGGATCTCAGCCAGATTCTGTCATCACCCTCTGTTATTCTAACTATCAATTTTACCCCCACCCATGTGCTGTCAACCTACTATCTGGACAGATACAGAAACCCATGTAGCACATGAACAGCCACCCCAAACAATACTTCCGTACTGGTAAGTAACAAGATTTGAGTTACGACTGCAACTCTCCCAAAAATAACACAGCTTTTAAAGTTTAAAAACTGGTGGTGCCAAGAAGTCAGACATTTCAACTGGCCCGTACGAAACCCTTGTAGCATTCCTCCATTCATAGCAGGTGGCCACCGATGATCTAACCCAAAATAAATGTATCACTTGTGAACTATGCTGGCAATGGGCCCTTGCTTTTCTTTCGGAAGCGTTTGTTTGCTATAACTCCATCTTAACGTACGTGGCTGATATCACGTCTGCCAACACTAGAGGCACTTCAAACAGCCGATCATTTAAAGAAACGAAGGGACTCACATAAAGATGCTCATCCTTGTCTTATACATACAAGAAATATATCTGTAATGTAGACCGCAGTGTCCAATTCTCTTCATACATGATGAACATTATTGAGTGACAAAGCTCTGAACAACTAAGAATTGTGTAGAGACAGAATTACAGGTACATTTGGCCATGCTGATTTAATCACTTGGCTTTCATGTGATTATAACTTAGAGGGCTGGACAGGGAGGGAAAGAACAATACATTGACAGTTAGGTGCTAATCACTTTCAACTTCTCACTAACCAAGGAGGCGGGGCAATGATTAAAAGTATATTATGGGTGGAGGAAGCCCATCTTCATCCGAAAAAGGTTAAAACTTGACAAATGTAGTAGAAAAAGAATTTACTTGGTTAAATTTTTTTGCTCACATGAATGGAGGACTCCCCTTTCTTTAGCTTTGAAATTTCTAGAACAGCATACAAGATGTATGCATGTAAGGCTTTGCTTAATTGATTAACAAATATATCACAGTGTAGTGTTACTGAATTAACAATCATTCTGACCTCCCCGGCTCATTTTCAGACAGAGACAATAGCTTGATAAATCACTGGGATTGATTTTCGAGTCTAAAGAAGCGTGTGATCAAATCGGCACGGCCAAATTATTGGCAGGAAAATGTCATTACTAACTGTTTCTTCTCCAGGATAGACAGGGCTCGAAATATTGCGTTAAAAGCACACTACAACATCATCTAATAAAAACAAGGTGGAAATTAAACACTCTTAGAGAATTATGAGAAATGTGGGCCATTCCATTCAAAAGATTTTTGGGGGAAGTAGGGCAAAAATTGCATCATTCAATCTGTCTCTAAAGAACTGGTAGAGCAAGACAATGGCACAAAAGGTGTGCAAAAGACATTGAAATGATTCTCAAAAAAAAAATACCCAGACAAAATGTTTTTTTTTCTAGAATCAATGAACCTTTTAAGTGGAATCACCCTCAAACAGGACACAATAAAACAATTTTGTATACTGCTCAATTAATACCAGCAACAAGAATTCAAGCAATCATTTAAGAATTCAAATTGGCAACAACAATTTCGAGCCCTGCTTTAATAATATGCAGTACTGTTATTTTTCGATTAAGCAACTCATTACAAACAATAATAGCGACATGATGTTTAAACTCTGAGGTAAGGTAAAAAAATAATAACACCATAAAATCCATTGGCACAACTCAAAATTTTAACTTAAGAGTTTAGCAGCTTATATGGCACATCCAGTTGTTTTGTAGACAGTTGTAAGTGTGACCAGTCCAAGTGACATTGTTGTTCCACTGAGGGACATCTCACCATTCAAAGCTCTTTGAATCTCAGAGGAAGTGAGAGTTCAGAATGTTTAGTTTGTGTTTATGCCATAATTCTGGCTACAATGATCTTTTTCTGGTAGCACAGAAGCAGAATTTTATCTGCACATTAGTTTGTAAACATATTGTGACAAAAAAGCTCTGAGTAAGAAGTCAGAAGAATTATAAAAAGTAGTTTCTGTGATTTTAGATACTGTAACTTTAAGACAAAAGAAACAATAAGAAGTCTTTTATTTCAAGTTGTTACTCAGTAACCGATACAATAATAGATTGTTAGCCTTCAGCCTGCTAAGGTAGCCATTTTTTGTACCAGGTTCACATTGGTTACTGGGCTACTCAGATGAAGGTTTAATTTCTGTTGAAGTTTAAAAATTTGATGTGGTCTGCCCTCTGTGGTACAACAATTGGACTTGGACGTGACTGAGCCACAGTGCATGTTATTTGCATTGTAGGTGATTAACGTTAACACTGTTACACAAACTACATTTTCAACCTTAGACTTTGTCCTCGTCTGGCAGTGAGTGAAAAATCGTTCCAATATAGCAGCCTGCCATAATACAGCTACAACTCTCGACAATCAATATTGACTATTCCAAAAGTCATCAAATACGGGCGGGGTTGGGTTAAAAAAAGGAATGAGATCATTTGTTTGAACATGGATAAAATACAAACACTGTGAGCAACTGTTTCTAATGTAAGCACTACATATAAAACATCACTTTTTCTTTTTAGGTTTGCTGCAATATATTTTGTCAGGAAGAATTCTTATTGTTCATACCTTAGAAAGCCTAACATTTCTTACTAGATTTAACAAGTGGCCCCCAAACATTATGTACCCTCTAGTGGTACAGTAGTTAGCTGTAGCTTAGCAGATACAGGTATATTTCAGACTTGGCTGAGTCTTGCAGTTTCTTGTGAGCCTTTAGTTCTTGCAAGCGGATATCTATGAGTCTTACTACTCTTACAGTTCGACCTACTTGCAGTTGTGATTTTTCTTCTAGACTGAACATAGCCCGACGTTCTTCCTCAGCTTAGTGAATTTTTTTCTAGACTGATCATTTCGTCTTGAAGCTTTGTGAATTTTTTTCTAGACTGAGCATAGCTTGACATTCATCCTCAGCTTTGTGAATTTTTTTCCTAGACTGAACACAGCCTGACATTCTGCATCAGCTTTGCTTGACTTTAGATTTTAATAGCACCTAGCAGGCTTTCTTCCTAACTGTAGCAAAATATTCAAACACCAGTCTTGACTATTTGTTATTTAGATTGATCTGAAATGTATTCCTTTTAACTTCTAGGATTTTACATTCTATTTGTAAGTGTAGTTTAGTTATATATGCTGAAGCATTTGGTACAGTGATACTGGATGTAGTGCCGTGGCAAGCTTTTTGGGAGGATTGAATATATGCTGAAATGGAGCCCACATACAGATAGCAGCAACACATTCCTTCTCTTTTCTTTGAGGAAAACACTTGTCAAAATACATGTTAGCTCCAAGACTGTTCACTGAATTCTGAAACATGTCAAATCTCACAACAGATTAAAACTCTCTATAACCAACCAACCAACACTTTTCAAATCTTCTCTTTCTATCACGATCCCTCACACCCCTATAACAGAGTGGTACAGTCCTTACCAGGTGTGATTTTTGGATCCTACACTCTACTGCTGGGGCGGAGCAGCCCATTTCCAGGAACGTTTAGCAACTACCTGTGAAGTGGGCCGTAATCTAATGAAGCAAGCAGTGGGTCAGTTTGCCCCACTGACCCCCTGGTGCCCTGGAAATGGGTAACATGCCTGTTTCCTGCCTTGGCTTGACCCTGCGGTAGGCAAGCTTTTGTGTTATGTGATTTAAAGTGTGTCATTTCTCTATATGGGAGGGAGGGGGGTGGGGGGAAGCTGAAGCTGGTATTAGGTAAAATCCTTGTGGACCCTTTTTTTACTCACATTGGGGAGGGGCAACGCTTGACTATCAAGTTGCTCAGTAGTAAGTCTTGGCGGGTTCGCTTGTCGTGGGGTCTTGTTCCATCGTTTCTTCTCCTTCTACTGGCTGTGCCGCAGACGACGACGGTGGTTCGCTACAATCCATCCCTTCTGTACTACTTGATTGCGTCTTGTCCTTTCCACCCTCACCTCCTCCTTCCTCTTCCTTACCCTCGGATGACGCTGCTGCTTCTGCCGCTGCCGCCCCGTTGATTTTAGCTTTCCTACTTAATAGAACCTTTACCACTCCGTCCATTTCCTCCTCGGGCACTAACGTGTGGTCGTAGCGGTACGTACTGATGTAGTACATGGAGATGTCGGCCTCCGCTAGGGGCTCAGACACCTGCGCTACAATCCCACACTCGTCGAACCCTAGCGGCACCGCCCCGTTTTTGATCATCTTCCAACACTCGCCCGTTGCCGAGGTAAACAGGGCGTTGCTAGGGAATCGAGTCAAGGTTTCCGTATCCATGACGAGGCTGATGTCGCCGTCGATGATGGAGAAGGAGAAAAGTCGGCTTCGCTCCCGTCCGGGGAGGGGTCGGCGTAAAATAAGATGTCCAGAAGGATGGTGGCAACCTTAGGGAGGGTGTCTGGGTCCAGGCTAGTGACAGAGAAGCGGGTGGGAGGGGCCACTAAAGGGTGGCCGATCTCCCGGCTGTTGGCCTCCCCACGGGTGGGCGTGGTCTCGCCCTTGGAGCCGCTGTTCGGCACCTCGATGGTCTCGCCCTCCACCTCCCGGAAGATCTTGAAGTGTGACCGTAAGCACTCGATAGACGTGTCGAGATCCTTCTCCTGGACCAGGATAAAGTCCGTCTGGTAGGTGGACATGACGAAGACCGGGACCTGCGCCTCGGCTAGCGGCAGGATCAGCGCCTTGGCGATCTTGGTGATCCCGGAAGCCTTGCCCGGGCCGCTCCCCAGGGCGCCGGCCGAGACGTTCTGCGCGTACCACACGCTGTTCACCAGGCTCAGCTGGTCGCTCAGCGGCTCCAGTTCCTTCAAACCCTCCTGGTCGATGATGATGGAGTACTCGTCGGCGGTTCTGGTCAGGCTGAGGAACTTGCACTTGGTCTTGTCCCGCAGGAGGATGAGTTTGACCAGCCCGTGCGTGAAAGGGGCGATGGCGCCCCGCGGGATGCTCCCCACCTGCAAGCGGTGCTCGAGCACGTACAACTCCATCCCTGCCGGCTAGCGTCTCGGCCTAAGCCGCTGGAGTCTCCTTCTCGCCCTGCCGGGGAACTCAAGCCGACCCTGCACGTCCCGACAGGAATAACGCTTTGTTTGCGAGCTGTCAAAATTGACAAAGTACTCCCCAGTGTTTGGATTCGCTATGCACAGAATATAGCCCTGATCAGAATGCTTGATGTTGGCTGGCGGGGTCCGTTACATGTTGGCGCCCGATTTTCACCCAAACCGTCCGGATTTCGCCGCTCTCACGCCGTCCTGTCGTAGCTGTCACGTTCCCGCAAACGTTAGTCCGTCCGATGGAGGGGAAGAACTCAGCAGGAGCTGTCAGCGGGCTAAAACATTTGTCAAACAAGCGGCACACCGTTCCTCCCAGACGCCATGATGGAGACAGACTGGGGTCATGGGGTGAACCCGAGAACGAGGCTGGCTTTGGTGTCGTGCGGGGTCAAGGATCCGTACAGCTACGCTATCCAGCGGTCATAAACGGTACTGCAATAAGGGCTAACAATGGGGTGTTTTATTGGTCAATCTCTTCTTTATGATGTATTTTTTCCGTGAGAAGAAAAATGTCATGTCTCATTCAGTAGGCTAGTGGAGCAGATAGGTTCCCTGGACTTTGATATAGTTAAAATGGCTTTTTTTAGTCCCTGGACTTTAATATGTGGAATTTGATATAATATTAAAATGACTATTTTAAGTCAACATTGTTTTGAATTATGACATTCAATGACATCACAAAAGAAATACTTGAAATACTCAATCACAATGCCATGTTTCTCATTTGGAACGAATCATTTGCTTTAAATGATGTATTGTCCTCATTTCAATCTTCCACATGCGTGAGTCATATTGATTTGTTTCAAACTCTGGCCCTTTCTTCGATTGCAACAATGTTCTTGTCTAGATCTCTTAATTCTAACTGAAGCACAATGGCAATTATCTAAAGAATGTATTCCCCTGTGGATAAGCCATTGGCATGACCTATCTGTATTGATTATGTAAGAAATAGATAACAGACACCGGGTCAATTGATTTTGTAAATATTTAATGGCACGACATGTCCACAGACATTCAGAGATACATGCTTTGTTATCGATTGTGTATAGACATGTGTCATTAACAATGCAATGTTTAAAAAAATCAGGAAACAAGCAGTCAAAAACAATAATTTCTCAGTTCTTATGTGCTCCAGTTTTAATCGTGTCAACTATAAAAGACAACAATTTTACTGAGTTCTTTTGTTCAATAGTTTGTTCTCTTAGTCATCTTCTATTTAAATTAAAACAGGTCCACACAGAAAGAAATTACAAATCTGTCATAGAATCACCAGCAATTCTACTTTATAGAAAGGCACATTTAACAAGAAGATAAAACAAGTACAATACTAATGTTGTACAATACTAAGTTGCAATGACTTGCAAGTTGCAACATTACCATGTACACAATTTAATTAAGAATAAGATTATGTCACTGCTACAATACGTGATTTATTATAAATGAGGTGTATCTCAATGGCATTTTGATTGTATTATTTACAGTTAAAATATAGAAGCTCTATTTTGCTACAGGGCTCCTTGCACTTGCTTTCAGGCTAGGGAGTGCAAGAAGCTCATATAGCAAATGATATGGCACCCAAGCTCAGTAGTACTAGTATTCTAGCTATGCTTAACACAATTCCTATATAGCAGCATTTACAGTATTAGCTTCATGAGCCATGAAGGGATCAAAGAAGCTTTCAAACATCTTATTGTTTTCTCCAAGTCTTAATATTATAACATTCCATGATATGCAGTAAATTAATCAATACCGAAACACATCACACTGTATCTGCTTGGAGTTCCCAACATCCAAGCCTTCATATCTGAAGAGGGTATCAGATCAGAGTTACCATCAGATCTAAAGAGGGTTTCACACCAGAGTTTCCATCAGATCTGAAGAGGGTGTCACACCAGAGTTACCATCAGATCTGAAGAAGGTATCACACCAGAGTTACCATCAGATCTGAAGAAGGTATCGCTCCAGAGTTCCTTTCATATCTGAAGAAGTATCACACCAGAGTTCCCATTAGATCTGAAGAGGGTATCATATCAGAGTTACATCATAACTGAAGAGGGTATCACACCAGAGTTACCATCAGATCTGTAGGTAGAGGGGCGGGACCAGCTCGCTGCGTCCAAAGTTGTGTTCCACCCGGGACAGATTGAGGCCGACGGGAGCGGGGACGTCTACTTTGACGCCGCGTAGCCGCAGGCGGGCCAGGCTCGCCTCTGTCACGTCCCGACAGTCCGACACTTTGATCACCTTCAGGTGTTTACAGTACTCGCCAACATTCCTGCAAAATAGAAGAAATCTTTCTTGATCACTCCAACAGGACAGTACTCTCCAACATTCCTGCAAAATAGAGGAAATCTTTCCTGATCACTCCAACAGAACATGACATGTCAAGGCATCTTTAATTTCAAGCCAAACATTAACATATGTAACATTATAGCAAGCCTGGAAGCGACATTTCAAAAAGATGCAATGTGTGTAGCCTGACTACATCAAACTTCTAGCAGCCCTTCCACTGGTCAGTCCCCAATATAGAAGCTTGATGGCCAACATCTCTAAGTCATCTTAATCCTGTTGCAGCTCTAGGACAGCAAAACTATTACTGCACTTTGCAGTAGATTGTAAACACACAATTTACATGTATTGTTTACTTGTGTTCTCACCTTATAGCAAAGTTGTTGACCCTCCAACAGCCTTGTACATCTAGATATTCTAACCTGGGACAACCTTTTGCCACTGCGTCGATCGCTTGATTTGTTATCCCGTAGATTTTCGCCAGTGACAGATGAGTGATCTTCTTGCACGCTACTACCAAAGACATGACGCATTCGTCGTTGATTTCCCAACAGGAGGTTAAGTCCACTTTTTCCAGCTCCCGACAACTCACCGCTACCATTAAAAATGACGGCACATTCAGCCAATGACAGTCTTTCAGCGACAGTGCAGTCAGTGAGGGGCAATTTTCCGCCACCGCTTGTATCGTCTCGCTTTGTAGGTGCAAACAGTTCGAAATGTTCAGTCTTAAAAGTCTTTGGTTACGGAGTATAACAGGAACCAGTAGTTTGTCTGTGAGCCAGTTTTTACAACCGGATAAAATGAGGACATTCAGGACGCTGTTTTCTCCGAGAATCAATCGGAAGGCGTCAGGAGTGATCTTACTGCTGTAAGGAGAGAGGTCGATCTTGAAGGTGGAGCAGAAGAAGGTGGTGACGAGATGTAGAGCCTGGGAGTTGGTCTGTCGGAGGCGGAACAGGTCCGGGAGGGACAGACAGGGCAGGACATGTCTGTTCAGGACATCCTCCCACGGTAGAACATCTAATATTGTAAACCTAGAGAGGGAGGGGGAGAATATTGGTTTGTTACATGTTATTGCTCTTTCATACACAATGTTGTGTGGTTGAACTTGAAGGAAAAACTCGGTATGATATTTTTACAAGGTATACATAAAACCTTTTTTGCGCAGACCTTGTGACAAATTATAACATTGTTGATTGATGATGAGGTCAATATTATCATATTATCAACATATTTCCTGCCCCCCTCCCCCTAACAAACTGAAGTGATCACACGAAAACATGTACTGTCATTGATATCAAAATCACAGACGAAGATCCTATTAATTTACTCGACATATCTACTTAGAAAGGAACATCCAGACCCCCTACATTATGGCAAAACCATAAAATAACTGTCAACCTACTTTTCAGCACCATGCCCAGACGCCATCTTGGATGAGAAAGGCGACGGAATGCATTTAAAACAGCGACAAACAGGAAAACTTTACGACAAAATTAGTAGTATAGCCTCGAAAAATAATTACGACATATATTTCTACGTATTATTTTGACATATTATCTTTGCAATTTACCTAATGAAGTTTTCGAAAATGCTAGTGGTTGTTCTACACTTTTGTCGCCCTCGATTATTTCATCATCATTCAACATGGCGGACCAAGAGCAAGGTAAGAACCGGATCTTAGGAAATTAACACGATCTTGGCTTTAAACGAACGAATTATTTCTCTAAAATACAAAAGGAACATTTCGTATCGACCTGGGCAACTTTTTACTGATTTTGGTTGCAATTGCTTCAGTAGATTTGTCTAAAAACTGATCCAAAGTTGGTCGTTGGCGGCGGCCATATGTTCTAGTGGGGAAGCCATGCTGGCATGGGAGGGGTGGGGGCGTGTTTGTTTGTTTGTTTGTTTACCTTTGTATTTTCGGATTGGCAAACAGTAAACAATATGGACCCCTGTCCAGCAAAATATCGTAAATCATCTTGTTTTTTTATGAAATTTGATGAGATACTTCAAAAGCACTAGTAGTGAAGAAAAATTGGTTACAAAAAAAAAAAAGATACTATGAAATCTGACCAACATTGATTTTTGAAAGATTTTGTTTATTTTTCACATTATACATTGGATCCAACCTATATTTCATGAAAGACAGCCATACATTTCTCAAATCAGATGCATTATTAAGAATCGTAAATTTGTATTAAATAATTCTTATGATGCAATGCTACCGAAAAATTGCACGCAGCAGATATTTGACTATTCTGGGCTTTAGGCAAAATGAATGGAAAAACTTTAATTAAACTAAAAACTTTTCCTATGAACCTGTTCAGCTCGTCGCAAGCGGACTCAGCCAACCTGGGCCCCTCCGGCCGGGAGTCCTGACACCCCCCTCAAACTCTACAATAGTCTCACCCGCAAGAAGGTAAGAAGCATTGGCCAACTTCATAAACTGGCTCAAATTTCCAATTCTAAGGTGTCGAAGTCAAAGCTATTTAAATAACTTCTTGAAGATTTAAAAGTTGTGAGGTTCACTATTTTATTGATAGCTGCATCATATACATGTAATTTTCTATTCCAAATCAATTTTCTGTAGTACATGTAATTTCTTCCTTATGAGCTTGTATGAAAGTATTGTTTTGGGTGGCTGAGCTGTGGGTTTGTGTGTCTGTTTGTCCAAACAGAGACAACTTGTGGGTGGGGGAAGATTAACAGGTAGAATTTTGGGGTCAAAAGGTCAGATACAGGAAATATACTGTGATACTACTTGGAAGTCTGAAATCTGTTATTTCTTGTTGTAGTACCCCACGTTTGACCGTCTGTTCCCTTGCAGGAGGTGTTTGTGCCGCAGAAAGGCCGCCGTGTCGGCTGGTACAGTATCTGTGTCTGTATAGCTGGTATAACCGTCCCTCTGTGTAACACACCAGCTTTGCAGGCATGTGGCGTAACACATCAGCTTCGCAGGCATGTGGCTTACTAGGCAAGGGGACAGCTGGCTATATTAGGCATGACTATTTACTGTTGGTTCCTTTGCAGGAGGTGTTTGTGCCGCAGAAAGGCCGTCGTGTTGGCTGGTACAGCTGCGGGCCGACGGTGTACGACACGTCGCACATGGGTCACGCCAGGTCGTACATCTCCTTCGACATCCTGCGCCGCATCATGAAGGACTACTTCAACTACGACGTCCTCTACGCCATGAACATCACCGACATAGACGACAAGGTCAGCAGACGTTAAAAAATTTTTTTCCAATTGGACTAATTACTTACTTGACTTATGCCAGGGGACCATGGCTGCCCAGTAGCTAAAATCCTGCATAGGCTTCCCCATATGCCATCATTCTGAAGACTGGTGTCCCTTTGCAACACATCCAAGTATGTGTGGGGTGGTCTTCCAGGCCTTCTTCTCCCATGTGCTGGGTACCATAGTACTAGGTTGGAGACTATTTCCTTACTGTATCTCAAAGAGAAATGATTTCACTTAGAGCTTTGGACCAGTCACTCTGGTCTTCCTTTAAGTGCCTCAACACCGTGTCAATGGTATCTGGTAAACAATGTCGGCCCTCGTCGCAGTTAGGACAATGGGCCCTGATGTCAATATGGTGAGCAGTAGTTTTCTCTTTAGTTTATCAACCTGATTAACACAAGTAACCTATCCTGACTGAATATCAATTAGCAGAGCAACCAATACAATACTAGTCTTAGAATACTACTTTGTAACAATGACACTTATGTTAACGAAGAAAAAAAATCCTCAATAATATTTGCTGTACTGTGTTTGTTTTCAGATCATCAAACGTGCCAGACAGAACTACCTGTTGGAACAGTACCTGGACAAGAAGCCGTCAGGAAAACAGCTTCTGCAGGACGTACAGACAGCTATGCAGGTAAGAGAGCTCATCATCAGTAGCCTGTGTTACACATAATCTCTTGTTGTTACTATTAGTACCTGATTGGGTCTTCTCCCCAAGAGCTTGTGGCAATACACCAGTCCTCTAAGTCTAACATGAGAGAACCATTCCCATTCCCAGGATTGCCAATAGGAGCTCTGGATTCTTTGTCACTACAGTAACCAGTCATCACAGCCTCCAACTCCATAGTAACAGTTCTCAGTCTGACAATAATTGGTCCATGTTACCACAAATAAAAGATACAATCCTATAAATTGTGTTTGATTGATAAGTACATACTCTTATGTGATATTTCTGCAGCCTTACAGGGAGAAGTTGGAAAGGGAAACTGACCCTGACAAGAAAGCCATGTTACAGAGAATAACAGTAAGTAGAATTTTATGTCTATATATTTATAGTAAATTCATTGTACTGGCATTGTGTTTTCATAGAATTCTTTGTTTCCAAGTTTGTAGCACATCTGTGGTGATGAGGGTACTATTGTTAAAATTCTTCCCTCTGCAACCTATCTAATGGTGGATAAACGTATCTACAAATTGTTTTCAGAACAAAGTGGAAGAAACAGTCTCCCAGCTCGGGCAGGTAGCAGAGAATAGCCCAGATGCCAGTAAAGGGGAGGAACTCAAAAAGGTAAATAGAAACCATCTGCTATTATTTTTATTGTTCATTTTTCAAATCAAATTCAACAAGGGCATGTTGTAGCTATCATTTGTCAATGAAGGATGGCCCATAAAAGAAAAATTGTTTTACATTTTTTGTCTTTTTTTCTTCACCATCTTTAGGCTCTTGTAGGGGATGCCAGAGACCCACTGTCAGAGTGGCTGGACTCAATGGTTAGTATCATTGCTGGAGTGTATCCATTTTTTATTTTTCCTCAGTTTAATACTGGTCAAATTGGAGGTAATATTTTACTTCTCATATCCAAACTAAATATGTCTTTGTAGCTAAAACTGAACCGAAGGGTTTTACCTTTTTTTAGAAGTAATTTTTTTGATAATTTTGGTCGATATTTCAGCATGGATCCGAGGTGACTGACAACTCCATCTTCACAAAGTTGCCCCAGCATTTCGAGGCAGAATTTCACAAGGACATGGAAGCCCTGAATGTAAGTACTGGACAGGACTTTTCATAGGCAGTGTTGTATGAATACGGAAGTATTGTTTTTGGTGGCTGACTTGTGGGTTTGTGTCTTTGTTGTAATAGCTTCAATTGCAGTTGTGGGTGGGAGGTAATTTTGACAGTTGATTGATAGGGAGGTCATGCGTGCAGGTGATCCAGCACAAGCCCAGTGGGAGTAAGTGGGTGGTATGCATGAGAAGTGGTGTAATACCTGATTAAATTACATCCAACAAATGAATTCTGTGAACAAGAAGGTCACGAAAACCCCAAATACTTCCTGAACATCTGAAATCTGATTTTTTGTTTTCAGGTTCTCCCAGCAGACGTCCTGACAAGAGTGAGTGAGTACATCCCAGAAGTCATAGAATATGTGCAGACTATCATAGACAAGGGCTACGGGTGAGTACCATTTGCTTGTCTGTTATCAAACATTTCAACGTTCCACTACTCAGATATTGTGACAACTGTAAAACGTTCTTGGTGGTTTTATTTTACAGTACAAATGTATAAGTGTAGTGGAGGTTTTCATGGTGTTTTAAATAGCAGGCAGTTGAAACAGTTGTGTAGTATAAACATATGTGAAGACACATTTGCAGTGTAATGAATTTTGGGGTGGAGAGGTTGCTTAAATGTTCACAGTATTTAGATCTATTGATCTTATAGTCAAAGAAGTGTAAGCTATGATAAAGCTAGGATTATGTCCAAATGCATTACCATCTTTTTGTTTAACCTTAAATCTGAATAATTATACAGCATACAAATTGTCTGCTAACTTTCTGTGTGGTGTTTCCTTTTCTCCAGGTATGAGTCCAACAAGTCAGTGTATTTTGACACCACCAAGTTCGATGGTGCCGACGCCCACTTCTATGCAAAGCTGGTGCCTGAAGCTTTTGGAGACAGCAAAGCAATGCTAGAGGGTGAAGGTATGTGGGCTGTATATGGGATCTTTAACGTGTGTGGGGTGTGGCTCTCCCAAACACGGGACCTCCATTTAATGTCCTATTCGAGGGAGGTCTCTAACTGAAGCTAGGTACTCATTTACACCTGAGTGAAGTGAGGAAAGTCGTGTAAAGTGCTTTTCTCAAAGGCACAAGATCGGTGGCATCGGGCAGGATTCAAACCTGGGACCTCTTGGGTCTGATCCAAACACTCTACTGTTATCACACGATCCCATGGGGGTGATACATGTATGTTTGCTGAGCACCCACACACTTCCTGGAGGTCTGTGAAATTTGAGCCACAAAAACCCAAAAATAGTTCACGGAAGTCTGATAAAATCTCAGCCTTCTTGTTTGTTTTGCAAATATTAGGGAAAGTTGCCAAAATAATAATGTTTTAGCTAGACTTTTGTTACGCGTCTTCAGTGTATTTGTTTCCATAACTTAAGCATACCTTTTTGAGAATAACAGATAATATTAATTGTAATGGCATCCAGGTATTGTTTGTATTCAAGTTACTTCTGGGTACAGAAGTATTGTTTTGGGTGGCAGAGCTGTGGGTTTTGTGTATCTCAGTCTGTCCAGACAGAGTAGGCTGACAGCACATGGCAGGGGAAGATTGACAGGCAGAATGACAGTACTTCGTCAACCAGAATCAGTAAATGGGGGTAAACATGAAGGTCTTAGAATCTGACCTGGAGCCAGCAGAAATAGTGGTCGACATGGGGGAATTAAAAAAGCTGGGGATTGCAGTATTAACATACCAGAAGTCCGAAATCTTTGATTTCTAGTAAAAAGTTGAACTTTATTTCCAACACACAGTTTACAGAGAGATCAAATTTTCAACGACCACTGTCGCCTTCATCAGGATAATTAATGACCAATCACTTCACAACGTGACCTTGCGATCAATTGCTGTGATCACAGTTAAGTCTCGTGTGAATAAGGTCACATGTTTGTAAACCGTAACTCTCGCGAGATCACATTGTGAAGTGATAGGTCATTAATTATCTTGATGAAGGAGACAGTGGCATGCTGAAAATTTGATCTCTCTGTAAACTGTGTGTTGGAATAAAGTTAAACTTTTTCTATGATTACTACCAACACAGATGAACTTTCATGATAATCTTTGATGTCTAGTTGTTAAACAATTGTAATTTACTCCAAATGTCGTCTCCAGGTGACCTGAGCATCTCCCAGGACCGTCTGAGTGAGAAGAGATCGACCACAGACTTCGCCCTGTGGAAGGCCTCCAAACCTGGGGAACCTTCATGGGACTCGCCATGGGGCATGGTGAGTGGGGGAGGGAGGGAATGTAAGGGTGAAAGGAGACAGAAAGAAGGGAGTGAGTGAGTGAGAGAGGAAAGAAGGAATGAATGAATGAATAATTGAGTGGTTGAGTGATGAATGAACTGATTAAACAAAACAACAACTGAGCAACTTTAGGAAGTAAACGAGCATTGAAATGTGACTGTAAATGCACTTACATTCGTGGTAGTTTTATTTAGAAGTACAAGGAAAAAAGTAGAAATAGAAATACAAAACACATATCTGTGGTGTCATGATTTTGAGAACATTGCAAACGTAGAAGCAAAAGTAAGTGCATATACACCCCGTAAATAATTTCATCAGGTTAGAAGATACTTAGGGTATAGAATTTTCTTCTTAGCTTCTGAGGAAGGTGTCTGATAGACATCGAAACGTAAGGCAGGTGAGAACCTTACTGGTTGTGTCAGAAGAAAATTCTATACCCCAAGTGCATATACAGTTTACTTCTTGCAGTATATAAATTGTTGTCACTGTTCTCCATACTTTAGGGTCGTCCAGGCTGGCACATAGAGTGTTCTGTGATGGCCAGCTCTATCCTGGGAGGGTCACTAGACATCCATACGGGAGGCTACGATCTCAAGTTCCCTCATCATGACAACGAAATAGCACAGGCTGAGGTGGGTGGAAATCGTCCTTTGTATTCATTGTCCTGACTACATTGTATTTTCCCTCTAGACAGGGTTAGATGTGTGCATGCATGTTCAGCACTAAGGACAGGGCAAGTTTCGTACATATAAACCATATTGAAACAATATTGAAGGTGTTCAGCACCAATGACAGCGTGTACTATTATATTGAAGGTGTTCAGCACCAAGGACAGGGCTAGTTGTGTACATTTAAAGGTGTTCAGCACCAAGGACAGGGCTAACTGTGTAGTACCACATATTGAAAGTGACCATGCCCTAAGTTAAAATGACAAAAAATGTACTTCACCATGGTATGGATAACCTGCTTTTTAAATCCTTAGCCAAATGAGATCAAACAAGATGTGAAGTGTGCAAATTGAAGGTGTTCAGCACCAAGGACAGGGCTAGCTGTATAGTACCACATTATCCTTCAACAAGTAAAATTTTAGTTAAAAAAAGCAAATGTCCAGAAATACCCAGGGTTTCAGATTATGATGAAACGGCATTGTGAAAGGGCAATGTCACATTCATCCTAGGTTGTCATTCAATTTTGCAGTAATCTACTGGTTAGCTCTTTAGCCAAATAAAATCAAAGCAAAACTGAAGAGTGTACACAATGTAGAATATGTGCTAAAACTACTGGATGTTTTCAGGCGTACTATGATAATGACCACTGGGTGCGGTACTTCCTCCACTCCGGCCACCTGACCATCGAGGGCTGTAAGATGTCCAAGTCTCTGAAGAACTTCATCACCATCCAGGAGGCCCTGTCCAGGTACGTCCTTGAATAGTTCCATCAGGTTGGTAACATCTGTGTCCATAATATCACCAGGGTCCATAAAATCGCCACCTTGAGAAACAGTGTGCTTAAAGATATTTTTACTGCAACATACTTTTGGTGTGCACTCCTTCACACATCAAATGTACATACTTAGGGTATGTTGCAGTAAAAATATCTTTAAGCACACTTTTTCTCAAGGTGGCGATATCATGGACCCTGGTGATATTATAGACACAGATGTTAAGACTTAGTCACTGAGTAAAGAGTCTCTTTTTACACAACCAAGTCTTTTATTCAGCCGACGTTTTGGTGACCGTCTGTCACCTTCCTCATGGCAATTCTGACTGGTTCACATTGCACTGCAGCACAGGTGTCGCTGCTATAGACGCATTCCCAAACGTACAATATTTACATATCTACACATATGCGTGGTTAAAGGGAAATGTATCTACAATGCGGTACCAAACGTACAGGAGTTGGAGGAGCAGTTACAGAGAACTGTAAGTGCTGTAGTGCAATATGAACCAGTCAGAATTGTCCTGAGTCTCTTTACTGTCTGTCCAGGTACAGCTCCCGGCAGCTGCGTCTGGGGTTCCTGCTCCACTCCTGGAAGGACACGCTGGACTACAGCTCTGACACCATGGGCACCGCTGTCAAGTACGAGAAGATGATCAATGTAAGTGTAAAAATGTTTCAAGTCTAAGGTAAACAGACATCCGTCTTCACAGTCCAGTATTGTAACCCAAAACATGTGAGTGGTTCTTCTTGTTTTGTGGTGAAAATTGAACTTCATAAAAGAAATTTAGGCAGTACAGAAAGTCTCTACTTTTGGTAGTATTGTTTTGGGTGGCTGAGATTATGGGTTTGCCTATCTGTCCATCATAATTGCTTTCATGGTGGGTGGGAGGTAATTTGGATGGTTTACAGGGAAACATGCCTTTGGAATGTGGTGTTAATACCCAATTAGTTTACATCACACATTGTTTTAAGTGCAATATAGATACAAATACAGATACAATCCCCTCTACAGTTTCCAAAACACTTCATGGTGGTCTGTGAGCTTTAAATGTCTTATTTTTCAATGTCGTGCAGGAGTTTTTCCTGACTGTCAAGGATGTCCTAAGAACAGATGCACCCCCTTTTCTGAAGTGGGACAAGCCAGAGCTTCAGCTTGCAGAAAGGTACAGTGTTACATTGGCCGTAATGTGTAATACTTTATAGAAAAGACTATTCCTTAATCTTAGGATTGTGTCAATTACATTACATTGGTCAAAGGGCTTTTATTATGATGTCAGTTACTATCCTTCTTTTTATTGTTGACTTGATCATCTTTCTCTTACTTAATCTTAGTTTCCAACAGAGGAAAGAAGGAGTTCACCAGGCCCTATGTGGTAAGTAAATCTTCATTATTACATCCGGACAGAGTAGGTTGACAGCTCATGGGTGGGTGTGGGGGGGATTGGCAGGCAGAATGACAAGAGGGGAAAGGGTCAGACTCAGGAAATGGGGGTGATTTTGAAGGACTCAGAATCTGGCCAGAATTCAGTGTTTGACATCAAACGCTGATCCCCTCCACAGTTCCAATGCATTAATGAAAATCCAAAATGTCCTGCAGGTCTGTGAGTCACGAAAATTCAAAATACATGTACTTCCCGAAAGGCTGAAATGTCAGATTTTTATGTCAATCTGGTCTTCCCATCTTTGAATGCAACCTTTGAATTTTTATTGTCCTTCCCGACAGACAACATTGACACGAGAACAGCGATGGACCAGATGCGTGAGCTGGTGTCTGACAGTAATGTGTACCTGAAGGAGAAACGAGACGCCCGCCAGCAGCCTGACCACACCCTGCTCAGGGACATAGCAGCATACCTCACCAGGATGCTCAAGGTGACGCAGAATAATCATGTTTAATCTTAGTTTAACAATAGTTCCTGAATGCCATTGCTTTGTCAGCCTGGCAGCAGCCTGACCACACCCTGCTCAGGGACATTGCAGCATACCTCACCAGGATGCTCAAGGTGACGCACAAAAATCATGTGTTTAACCTTTAGTAAAATACTGGGCTCCCTTAGAAAACAGCTTTCGCAAGCTGAATGGGGCTACCCAACTGTTTTGGGATTAAATAGACAAATAAATAAAGAACAACAGGGTAGCCAATTTGCTACCAGTTCTCTATAATTGGTTACTTTACTAATAGGCTGGTTGAAGGTTGATAACAATTTGTATTTCAACTTATATTTTCTATGATGTCAATGATTGTATTAAGTCTCAAGGGCTTCTGAGGCAGTTTTCTGGTTCTCTGTTTTTGGTTTATGATATTTTGATTACTGTTTCTGTGCTGTTATGAAGAAAACAATAAAAATGTATTATAAATGTTTGCGTACAAAAATTTGTGTTAGGAAAAAGGTGAATATTTGTCAAATATTTGAAATATCAATTTTTTCTCTTTGCAGATCTTTGGTGCTATTGAGGGAGAAGAGCTTATAGGTTTTCCTGTGGGAGGCACTAGTCAGGCGGTCAATGTGAGTCACTAACTTATATTTTCTAGATTTTATTGGTTTGCTGAGCAGTCTTCTTTGGCAGTTATGACTGTATTCTTCAAGAAGGCTTTTTACCTTTTATTTATATATCCATGTTGTTTCCATATGTAAATGGAAATTGTTATGTGTACCATTTTTGTGTCATGATTTTAGCAGTGATTTGAGTTTGTTCTGTTTCCAGCTGGAGGAGACAGTCATGCCATACCTCAGTACCATGGCTGAGTTCAGGGACAAGGTGCGACAAGTCGCTCGCCAACAGAAAGGTACACAAGTCTTTCTTTATCATGAAATGGAAACAACATAAGCTGTCAACTTTCAAGTACATGTAAGGAAAAACACCTGTGAAAACAGCAAGCACGACCAGAGGTAGATGTGATTAATGTTGCCCGTCTGGGACAGACTTAACCCAACCATATCCATTACAACCTGACCAGGGCCATGCAGAAACTAGCCTCCGTAGCAGGCTTATAGAACTGGGGGTTTGGTGGTCTTTGACTGTTTTCTGATTAGCCCAGTTCTAAAAATGGGGGTAATTCAGCCAGGCCGGCTATGTTGTCTATATGCAATCAGAAAATAGCACATATAAAAGCTTCCAAAGACCATGAAGACCCCCAAAACTGCCAGTTTTTGGCATGCTATGGAGGCTATGCAGAAACACAGACACACACACACACTCAGACACACACACAAACATACCTAAAGCAACACCTCCCTTTTTCATGGAGGTAAAAATGCATCCATTATTAATTTTCCTGCAGCTACAGAGATCCTGCAGCTGTGTGACCGGCTGCGTGACGACGTCCTGCCGCAGCTGGGAGTCAGACTGGAGGACCACGAGGGACTGCCGCCGGTCGTCAAACTGGTGGACAAGGAGACACTTCTCAAGGAAAGAGAGGAAAAGCTTAAGGTAAGACTTCTTCTTCGTCGTGAAAAGTATACATGTTTGTAATACAGAGTAACAAGGCAACACTTCTTAAGGAAAGGGAGGAGAAGCTTAAGGTAAGACCTTTTTTTTACTCATTGGTCATCATGTAACAAGACCTGAAGGTGACTTCAGTGTGAAACCTGATGGCCATTCTCCATGGTTACATGAATCAGACTGTAACAGCGTCTTTTCTCCCTAAGTCTTGTTAGCATTGTTCCCTACTGAAGTATTGTTTTAGTGGCTGATCTGTGACCAGATAGAGTAGGTTGTGACAGCACATGGGTGGGGTTAGATTGACAGCCAGAATGAAAGGTCAAAAGGTCAGACACAGGAAATGGGGTGAACTTGAAGGTCATGAAAACACAAAATATTTCCTGGAAGTTTGGAATCTACAATTTCTTGCTTGGCTTGAAGTGTAATACAATGTACAATGTATTTGGAAAGTATTTTCTCAACAAACCAACTTTCTTCCTCCAAGTAAAAAGTACAGTCATCATACATGTTTGATACAAATCTCTCGCCTCCCTAGATTGAAGAAGAGAAGCGACGTCAGAAGGAAGAAAAACAACGGAAACAACAAGAACTGCAGGTAAATATTGAACAATGCTTCAGTGCATTAAGTACAAGGAATGAAGCATCAATGCTATGGTAATGATATTATCCAAAAACCCATTTGATACATACTACTGGTAGTACTTTGTATTGCCAATAGGCATACATTGTATGTAATACATGTTAACATGGAAATATTTTAACAGGCAGCTAAAGAGGCCAAGAGAAGAATCCCTCCATCAGAGATGTTCCTACAGGACACAGACAAGTATTCCAACTTTGATGACACGGTGAGGTCACATCTTGTTTGAGATTACTTATGGGTACGGGAGTATTGTTTTGGGTTACTGAGCTGTGGCTTTGTGTATGTATCTGCTTGTCCAGGGAAAGTAGTTGACAGCACATGGGTTGGGGAGATTGACAGGCAGAATGACAGTAGGTCAAAGATATCAGAGTCTAACCATGAGCCAGCAGGGATTAGAAGTGGGCATGGGGGAATTCAGGAAGCCAAGGATTGCATTAAACTTCTGAAATCAGTTTTTTTTTTCTAGAAAGCTGGTCTTTTCCATGCAGGAGAGTCTATCTTTTCCCACCATAGATAGATTTGACTCAGTATACCTTTTCCACATGTTTCAGGGGTTCCCAACACATGACAAAGAAGGAAAAGAGCTCAGCAAGGGGCAACAGAAGAAGTTACGGAAGCTGTACGACGCTCAGGAAAAACTGCACAACGAGTTTTTAAAGAGTCAGCAAGAAAACGTAGTGAATGGTGCTCAGGCAAAATGATGATACCTGGAACTAGTAGACAGTTACCAATAGTTTTATTGCTTAAACAAGTGTACAGAAAGTGCAAAATGGATTGAAAAGGAGCAAAATTTTCTTCTGTTTTACTCCATTTTGCTCTCTCTGTACTTTCTGAACAAGAATGGCTGTTGTCACCTTTTGTAGCAATTTGGTACCAGTATCAACCCAACTGGTGTATAGCATGAACACTCTACACTACTTCACCAGCCAAAAAAAAAAAAAAACGAACTGGAAAGATAACACCAGCGATATCAAACCATAGGATATCAAACCGAATTGTACCAGAGCCAACTGGAGATACATTGTACGAACATCACCATTGCTTATTAACTTCTAGATTGAAAAGAAAAGCCTTCCATAGCAAAAGTTTTTATCCATAATAGAAAGAAAGAGAGCATACAGTCTTACGTTGTTGTATCCTCAAATAATGATAATCTGACACATCTCCTAGCTTCCATTCGGTATGTAGTAACTGTTGAGGCAATGTCGTCTGGAAATGGTGACTTTTACTACTCCAATTCCTAGAGTAGAATCACAAATGTGGTGACTTAACGCACTAGTAGTGTGCCACAGGTAAAATATCAAGAAGTGGGGAGAACTTACTATAACTTAATGTAATACCGGTAGTAACTTATTTTTCAACATAAGTGATCATTGTGGAAACAATGCACAGTGTACTTCATACTCACAAAGCTGTGTACAAAACAACAATATGCAAATGTTACAAAATTTATTTTATTTTCTTTGCAAATCATTCCATATGAAAAATAAGCATCTCTCTGCCTTAATACATAAATTTAAGTAATAATCTTCCTTAAAGTAATATTGAGATCAAATAACATTGAATACTTTTGAATAAAGCAAACTTTTTGCTTCCTGTGAAAACTTATGACTTATTAGTTATTGTATTTATCCTCTTTTGAGCACAAAAATGTACTAAAATGTTTCAGCTAGATATGTGTAGAATTGGCGATTTGTGATAGTACAGTGTAAAAGATATGTGATGTTAATTAAAAGCAATGTGACAGCTAGTATATATGTGTGATGCTCATTTTAACTTGTTGCAGCAAATCAGTCCAAAATGATATGCTATTCAATAAATGTACATGAATTCAAAAACATACATTTTGCCTAGCTGGACATTATTAATTTGATGGCTTCCACTGTACATGTACATGTAAGTCTGTCATGGCTATTTCATAATCATCACTCAACCAACATATCCATCAATTTTCAATTGATGTGTTTCTGTTTTCAGCATTGCTTCCCTGAGATTTTTCACCTTTCTTCCACAACATTTTACTATTTATCATTTATCAAGGCAAATAAAAACAACATAGTAGACCCACAATCATTACAGATTGCAATTCCTACATTTACATATCTTCTAACGGCTTGATGTTTTGAACATCTGTCCCTTTCCACTTTATATAACATAACTTTGGCATAGAAGTTTCTTTTTGGCACTGGGCATGAGCATTGAAACACAGTCAAAAAGCAAATATTTCACTGAGTGGAGTTAAGAGACTTGTTCCTGAATATCTGTCATCTGCATTAAGGGCACAGCGCCCTCCCCCCTGCGTGTCTTACCCCAACTGAGGCGTGTTGCGCAGTACCTTTTCAACATCAAGATCAAGTAGATCACTGTGGAAAGTACTAGTAGGGAAAGCAAGATCACCCAGGGCCAGGTGGTGCCTTGAAGCCCTGCAGTACCATCTCCTGCCACAGGGGGCGTGCATCTATTGGAGTCTTGTCTGGTTGTTGCTATGCTAGCAGGACCCCGAGGCAACTGTACTGGAAGTCCTACGGTACAAGTAAAACACGATACGTAAGGGGAATGCTGTCATGGCTAAATATTCCACTCCATTGGAGTGAAGTAAAGAGGCTTATTCCCGAATTTGTGTCAGCTGCTGCACCACTGTGAGAAGTACAGAAAGCAGGAGCATCCATGGTGTGCCTCGGAGCCTGCCTGCAGTACCATCACCAACCACAGGGGGCGTGCATCTGTTGGAGTCCTGCCTTGTTGTTGCTATGGTAGCAGGACCACGAGGCAACTGTACTGGAAGTCCTACGGTACAACATGACATTAGTTAGGGGATATGCTATCTCTGGGCAAACCTATAATTGAAACTGAAGGCATCTGTACAGTCCAACAGACTACGTACTTAAAACTTAACGTTACATGGATCACAACTACTGCTTGCATCATTTTTGTCAATATTCCAATGCATTCAAATGTGCCCTGGATGCTCTTTTTCGAAAGGCATAATCAGGCTTTACATGTAAGCCTTCATAATTTGTACTTAGGCAGCTGTCCAAAATATTAGGTTTGATTTTTTGGTAGGAAGGAAAAAAGTTTATAAGTTGTTTGAATTTTGCAGTTCGCACTTATGGTTCGAATTTGCATAAGATGTCACTGTGAAAATAAGCCACCATGAAAGTTTCTGCATTTTCACAGTACCACTAACATCTAAATTTGCTCCCAACATGGACAGGGAGGATCCATTACTTACCCTCCTGGAGACTGTAGCTGGTATCACCTGCCCTGATCTCTAGTGGATAGTCCCCTCCAAGGGAGGTTACATTTACTGTGACCACATCACTGCTGACGGTGACATCCAAGGAAGAACCCAAGTAGTCTAAGCCATGGATTTTCATCCTGTTGGGATAGAATTAAAAGTAACAATAATTTACAAAGATTCACATTCGAATACCTTCTGTTAAGCATAGTTACATGTTGTACTTATGGATATGAATGTATTGTTTTGGGTGGTCAAGCTTTCGAGTTCGTCCAAATTGCTTCGAGTTTCATGGTGGGTGGGAGGTGATTTTGACAGCTGATTGACTGGGAGGTCAACTGAATGTGATCCACAGTTCCCAAAACATTTCCAGGAGGTCTGTGAACTTAGGCTTCAAGTTCATGAAAACATTTCCCGGAAGTCTAAAATCTCAGATTTCTTGTGATAATAAACAGTACCTGTCAGTATCTGGTGGCAGGACAGGGTTGAGGTCCAGACGGTCCACATGTAGACGGAAGCCGCCGTACCCAAACAGCACAGCCTGGAGAAACCCTCCCATTCCTGTGATGAAGTTAACTGCACCCAAACCCTGGTGTGCTTCAGTCCAAACCTGAGGGAAGAATTACCACAATTCTCACTGCATATTTGTGCCCACTCCTCTGGCTGGCTTGAATGTTTTAGTCATACTCAAAACTTTCCAGATGAATATTTTAAAATTGGATAAAAATTGTATGGGATAAAAGTGTATTCTATTAGCATTCTTATACATTTGATTGATCACAAAGACAAAATTTGTCACAAGAATGTATATAGGCACAACTATTAAGAATGCACTTGAAATATGCAGGAATATACTAAGAATTTTCACTCAGAGATCATTTCTCCTCAAGTGAGAAGGGATATTTGAAATTCCAACCGCATGTGGCTCAAATCTGTTCTGGCTGGTTCTACTTGGTTAGTTGATTATTTAGTTGATAAATAAGTTTGAAGGGGATATTTAAAAAATTCAGTTTCACCTTAAAGGGCTCCTTGACGTAGATACTGTAGCTGTCCTGGAACATCTGTCTGGCCTTGCTGTACTCCTGCAGTTCCAGCCAACCCACACAGAACATGCTCCATGTCATGGCCGGGCCAGTACGGTCTGTCACCTGGGGTGGGGAATAGACATATTTCATTACTTCCATATATATGTATGTTGACCAAACCATCTTAAGATGGTATAGTAGCCAAGGAAGATAATCACATGGGATGTGGAAGGCCAAAACCTACAAGGTTGTCCAAGGAAGAGATGAATTGACAGCATAAGGGAGGACTTCCACCACCTTAACCTACATAATGTTAACCCACAAGATAGAGGCAAGTGGTAGGCTGCCATCAAGCCTCCGCGTCTGTGAGTCTAACTCTCGGGAAATGGGCAATACTCCATTAAATAAAAAATTCCCTCCACAAAAACATGAAAAATTTTTGGCTATCAAAAGTAATGAGCAAAACTGAATGACACAGACTCTGTACAATTCAAGAAAATCATTCACATTTTATTACCCTTTGTGTTTTATCGTCTTTTTTGTATACTGTACAATGATTTTGCCACATTCTGTTAAAAAATTAGATCCTTTTATACCTTTTCATAGATGTTCAGGTCACTCCTCCTGACTTGATCTGACATCTGCCACATGAGTGGGTACCCCAGCAGGATGACATCCGCCTGTTTGATCAGTTCTCCTGGCAACAGGAATGTCAAAGGAAACATTGATTACTTAAACATTCAGCTGCACAGCCGTCATTCAGCACCAAGGACAAGGTAGTAGTTTTGAACAACCATTGACAATGATACTTTTTGGGAGCTGGGGCTAGGGTAGCATTCAGCATCCAACAACAGAAACACAAAATAATTTAAGGACAGCATTCAGCACCAAGGACAGGGACAGTATTCAGGGGAAGAGATTGGGACAGTATTCAGGAGGAGGGACTGAAAAAGCAATCAGCATCCACAGACAGACAAAATATAGTTTATTGACAGCATTCAGCACCAATGACAGGGACAGTAGTTAGGGGCAGAGACTGGAAAGGCATTCAGCATACAGAGATGAAATTCAGCACCAAGGACAGGTACAGCAATCCCTTCCTAGGGACAGAAATAGCTTGAGCATTGCTTCTCATCTAGCATTTATTTTTATATTTCAAAATAAGGAACACCAACACAGAACAGCCACACAAATGGCTGTTCGTTACCTTTTGGATAGCCCTCAAACTCTGGGTGATAATTCTCATCAGTAATTTCCGGCAGGTAAAGCTTGTTTCCAACATCTGTGACCCAAGACTCCACCTCCTCAGCTGTTTCCTCCGTCTCTCCCAGCAGACACGCCGTGTAGTTGGCAAACTCCATGCTGAGTTTGGCCACCACGTTGGTGTAGATGGAGTTGTTGATGGTGTGATGGAATTCGTCTGGTGGCATCACCCCTGCATCAATTGTACAGTGAAGTATGTAAGATACACTGCATGAAATTCGGTAGTTAAACATACCTTAAATCAAGCTTAAAGGTTCTGTCTTTATTTCAATCTGCATGGTGGGTGGGAGGTGATTTGAATTTTGACAGTTGATTGATCAATAGGAAGGTCAAGCCTAAAGGTGACCCTATATGTGCTGTGTGGGAGTAAGGTGGTGTAATACCCGATTGAATTGCATCATACAATCCCCTCCACAGTTTCAATACATTCAAGAAAAGGTCATGAAATTGAAGGCCACAAAAACTCAAAATGGTTCCTAGAAGTCTAAAATCTCCAATATCTTATCAATTGGATGCCTCGCACCAGAACCAGACATCTGCTTGTAGATAACCCAATGAAAGCTTTGTAGGCAATAGTAGGTTTTCCCCCTGTGAAATAAATAAACAAAGATCCAAAAGCTTTTACCATTAATATCGTACAGCCCCCTTCTCTGGTTGAAGGTCACCCTGCTTTTCCAGAACCTGGCCGTCTCCCAAATAAGCCCCAGGTGAAATAAACAAACAAACAAACAGACAAACAGACAATAATTAGGGAAAGATCCAGCAGCTATTACCATTAATATCATACAGCCCCCTTGTCTGGTTGAAGGTCGGTCGGCTCTTCCAGAACCTGGCCGTCTCCATGATGAGCTCCCAGCCGTTCTCGTCCTTCAGCCACCCAAGGTCGCGGGTAGCGGAGACGTACTGGCGAGCGGCGAAGGCGATGTCTCCGGTGATGTGCTGCTGGTTTTCTCGACACTCCATGCAGATGTCACCCGGAGTAACCTGCAGGTTATAGAGACATCCTTATTGATACAATGAAAGTATAGAGACTTTTGTAATGTCATACCTTGGCTGTTATCATACGTTCTTTCAAAAGTTCCAGATAATGATTCAAATGTGTTTTGCATACACTGCATATGCCACTTTTCAAAATTTGAATATTGGATTTGGACGTTGTTTAGGGACATCAAATCAAGTGGCTATGTGAGGAAAATTTTCATATCACTGTATTTACTCCATGGAACTGAGTGAACCATGGAATCCACCTGGTCCGAAGGCATTGTTACATTTTTCCAGTTAAGCATGTCTAAAAAAGAGTCAGTGAACCAATAACTCAAATTGGTGTGGCCTTATAGCTTGGTAAAAGATTGTAGCATAACCAAGTTTGATACCTCCACACCAGTAAAAGCACTTTCCCATGGGAACCTCAGTCCCTGGTGCCCATTCTCCCGTGCCCTGTCGTACGCCGGCCCTCTGACATGTATCCTGTAGCTCAGGATGTCCTTAGCTAGAGCAGGGTGCAGCAGGAGGATGGGAGGGTACATCCAGGTTTCTGTGTCCCAGAACGAGTGGCCCTGGTAGTCCTGGTGGCACAAAAGTTGGTACATTAGTCAGCAACAACGAGGGAGAAATCCAGGGCATCATTCAGCAACAACAAAAAAGTGATTGCCAAGTTACAGTTGTTCCAAGTTTTTTTGTTTTTTTTTTGCAAAACTGGTGAACTGTCTATTGGCATAACAAAGTAGTTTTATACAGTAAGTACAAGACTGAACTGCAAGGTATTTTTTCACCAACACTGCAAACAAACCTATTACAACAATTGAGTCTGGGTCCACTTCAAATTCTCACTTTGCCAAATCCTTTCTTGAGCGACTTTTAAACCTATTTGGAAGTAAAATTACTATTATCTGAGAGATCAATATTAAAACATATCTACTGCTACAACAAGGAAAAAAAGCAACCTGAAGGAGTTTTCCATTAGCCAGTCCCCCCGGGCTGAGTCCGTAGAACTGATTCGCTGTTCCGTAGTGGTTCTGTGCAGGTAGGGAGCTCAGGATGTAATACAGCGCACCGTTGATGGTCTTCTGTAGATCCAGATTCCCCTCCACCTCTATACGTCCTGCGTCCCAGACTTTTCTCCAGGCTTCCAAGTGAGTAGGGTAGAGGTCACCACGAGCAAACTGCCGCCCGATTTCAAAGGCTTCCCTGGCTGTGGATTGGTCTGTGTCGATGGAAGTGATGAAGGATGCGCTGATTTGAGACCTGTGGAGAGCGGGAATTTAAAAAAGTGAGTGATTAATTCCTGGTATTGTTTTGGGTGGCAGAGCTATGGGTTTGACTGGACAGACTAGGTTGACAGTCCATGGTCCATGCAGGGGAGCGGAAAGATTGACAGGAGTTCAAAAGGCCAGAGTCAGGAAATGGGGTTAACTTGACTTCTTGTGAATTTGGCAAGGAGCTAGCAAGAATTATAATGGTTGACATGGGGGAATTCAGTTCAGGGACAGCATTCAGTACCAAGGACAAGGGCAGCATTAAACTCAAAAGACAGGGACAGTATTCAGCACCAAGGACAGGGACAGCATTCAGCACCAGGGATAGCATTCAGCACTAAGGACAGGGATAGCATTCAGCACCAAAGACAGGGATAGCATTTCAGCACTAAGGACAGGGACAGCATTCAGCACCAAAGACAGGGACAGCATTCAGCACTAAGGACAGGGACAGCATTTAGCACTAAGGACAGGATCTGTTATAATTTATATTCATGATGACAAAAAGCTAACATCTCATCTATTGTAGACAGTACTTCCTCAATGTAACTACATGTTATACCTACTCAGAGCTTGGCAGTGTGATGGTACTGGGGACTGGTGTCCAGTACATGTGTACTTCAGATCTGGGGCTGTCTGCAGTCTCTGTCACGTTGATGGTACCATGTCTGTACCTGTAATGAAGTGTTCAGTAAAACAGCAAATCACATACATGTATATTGATGACAGTAAGATATTTGGGTCAACTATACTCATAGACTATACAAACGTTACTAATATAGAATACAGACTGAGCTAACTTACAGAAGTAATCTCTGTACTTTATCCAGTAGTTAAGAGTCTGAAAATGATGCTCATAGACAATTCAAATAAACCAATGGATAGAATGCTGACATTAGACAGCATTTCTTCAATGTAACCACATGTTATATATACTCAGAGCTTGGTAGCATGATGGTACCAGGAACAGAATTTCCAGAAGTAATCTCAGCAAGAATTCATTGTGGAGAGATCACTGCAAAAACTGCAAAAATAAAACCACAAAGTTTCTGCATGTACAGTACATCCCCTACCGACTATCTGAAGAAGGGGAAGAGACGGGGTCCCACACAAAATCTTGGCCATCGGACGCAGGACTTGACGTTAAGTCGATTATGATGTCACTGGCGTCCATGACAGACTGCGCCCGCGTTACGTGAACCTCTGTCACCAAAAGTCGTGTGTAGTACTGGTGTGCGTACGTCCGCTGTTCCAGGGTTACCTGGTCTGTCCTCACAGTCTCAAAGAAAACACCTGAACAAGGAAATGAAGAATAAGTAATACATACACATATACCACTGGACACTGAATTTTTACTTTATTGGTATAGAAGAATTGTTTTGGGTAGCTGAGCTGTGTCGGACGGAGTAGGTTGACAGTATGTGGGTGGGAAGATTGACAAAAGGTCAGACACAGGATATAAGGTGAACTTGATAAAAGGAACAAAAAACCAAAACATTTCCTAGAAGTCTGAAACATCTACTTCTTGTCTTCAAAGTTTAAATAATTGCTGTCCTCAAATATTGCACATGACTGACACTGAATTTTGAATACATTTGACATAACTGACTGTACAGAATCCATCCAATAGCACATAGCCCATGACTTAATCAATGTATTGATTCTGCTGTTAAATGCCCAGAATGTCACACAACTGGGTTTGGCATCTCAACTGTACCTTTCTCAACATCAAGTGCAAATCTCCTCACTGCACCGCCTTCGGACGGGAGCGTTGCCCGGATGTTGTTGGGAGAAGGAATTGCAGCCCGATGACTTCTACCTGAAATAAAATACACAAAAAATGAAGCAACATAATTCATCAAATAATTAATATTCATCCTACAGTAAACTTTTATGACATACATTGTGTGCTACATTTTTAATGATATTACAGTAATTGGTCTCTAAATCATTTCCTATTGGATCACAATTATGTCAATGCCCTACAGTTTTACTGGTACTGTAAAATGTGTCACCTTTAAAGCCATCTCCACTGTACAGTCCATTGACAAATATGGTGTCACTGTACACAGTTGTTGCTAGGTGACCGTTACCCACGGATGCCATAAGACGTGTATTCAAGGTGTAACCAATGGTGGAGTTTCCTGTCATTGGCAGCCTGTTATAATGTATGAAACAAGACAACAACATGTTATGAAAAGGACATTGAAGTTCTTAAAAACCCTTGTCCTGCTGTGCGCAACATATGTCGCGCAGCACATACAGTACCATCTATATAGCACCCTGTATAGGTATGATTTGGGGGTATTTCTCGTGCAACGCATCACACCGCAGCGAAACGCAACGAATGCGGAAGTAACTATGCCACTGCAGGGCAAAAAAAATTGCGGGTCTATGATCTAATTAAGACATGAAATTATTGAAAAATATTGTGCCAGGAATGCCAGCAGGACAAGGGTTAACATGTGGTTTAGCAAATAATTTCTGTTAAAAAATTGGTACTGTACATCAAAACTTTTGGGATGGTTTTAGGATAAAAAAGGATGCTTTCAATTTGCTTTTGAAACAATTCAGTACCAGTAGAGAGAGCATATAGTATGACATGGCCAGTGAGTGGTAGGCAAAAATCGGGTGACAGTTTTCTGATTTGCCTACCGATAATTTGCATGTATCAACCAATAATTTGCATCTATATGATGTAAACAAAAAACAGCTCATATAGAGTCATAAATTCTCAAGGGTATCAAGGAAAATTGTGTTGAATGTCAAGTGGGATGTATAGGTTAGTAGTGGCAAGGTTTCTTGTTGGCTATTGTACATGTACTTACCTGTTGGATTCGAAAACAGTTGGACTGCTGCTAATATCAGGCACATCTGCGCTCTGTCTCCTTTTTCTAGCCTTGTCACTTGGGGCAAACAGTTTTGTCCTCTTGCTGTTGTCCCCCAGAATGGTCTGGTAGGCGGCCACGTTTATAAACAGTAAGACTAGGGTCAGGCACAGGGCCATGTACAGTCCACGGATCTTCATCCTGGTCTGCAAAAATTTCCTTAGAGAAAAAACAAAACATTTGAAGGGTTGGTATACATTATTAAAGATTGAGAAATGCTATCCTAAGGTCACACCAATCAGTTTTATTTCTAAATTCTCTATTGAACACTTACTGCTTGTAGGAGTCTTCACTGTAATTTTCGACATTTGGATTTGGCATGACTTTTGTGCCATTGTGAGGTGCACTTTAGACACTGTTAATGTTTAAAGTACAGGTAATGTTATATTGACTTAAGGTTGATGATTAATAAGCCTGACTCTGATTTTCTTTGTGTTTTCTGGTCAGCTAAATCATGAAATGTTCAAATGGCTTCACGATGTATATCACGGATATATGTACAACGTATTTGCTATCTACCGCTATAGATTTTTAAACTATATAAAGTCCCCTCATAATGCTGCCATCTCAACTTCAATGGCTGTGACCCACCTGCAAGTAGCTATTGTTGCCCATCTCCAGATTTTGTGACCAATCATCCCTGGCAGTTGTTGGCTCCTTTCTACTAAAGATCAGCAACTTTGATTTTGTTCTCAGTAAAGAAGGGTCATTGTTCTTGATGACTTGACTTGGCATATTTTCTGTGCACTTGCCACTATAGAAAGAAGTGAATTATCATATCCAGACTGACCTTTATATTTTATATTGAAGCTGCAATGGCATATTTACAAACAGATGACACATATACATAATATTGGATGTGTAATACCAGTAATATATGAAGACAATTAACGTTATAGTGTTGTATATCAATGGATTTAATATAACGTTATAGGTTAATGTTATATTGTTGCACATGTAACAAGTTAGCTCATATGGCATCAATATAAAATGTTACATCAAGGAGGTTATTAGGTAGAGTCTTGGAAAGTCTCCTTGGTTTAATATATTATCAAGTCAAGAGGGAAAAGATCATTCTGTCATAATTTCTCAATCCTTAGCTGTTAGCATTTATCAGTTCTTCTGTCCAGACGCACCATGTGTATTGACCTATCGCTCCGGGGGGATAATTAGGTCCCAACCCAATCAGTAGGGCGGGCATCAGGGCTTAGGATCATAATGACCCCAGCGGGGGTCTTCACGCCTCCTTGAAAATCGATATTCCGCAGATACAGACTCCACGATTCCTGGCCAGCATCTTTATTTCTGCGCCATCTTGGTTGTTGTGAACCTAAAGGGGGCGTGGTCCTTGTTTACATGTCGGAGGCCTTTACCTTTGACCTCTAGTAAAAAAAACCATGGTGCTAAGTACCATGAAAAAACTGCCTACACATTTCTCGAACGACCAAAAAAAAGGCTAAATGATAGAACGTATGATATGATACGTATTTCCCCCAGGTATATGCCTGAAATGATATCGGAAATCGGTATAATTAAAACCGGACATCCTTTAGCTGGTGCATTCTGGGAGTGGGAGGGCCCTACAACAACGCCTACAACAACAACAGAAAGTGAGAGTGGTATCATGTCGTCGAGTCGAACAAAGAAATCGTCCAAGATCAGGTCCACGGGCGACATGAGCGGGAAGACCCCCGGTAGGAAGACCCAGGCGGCTCGGTGCGGATTCTGTAACCTCGGGTATGAAGTGGAGAGAACCTGCGACACGCTGTACGTGGCAGACGATGTGGCCGCTCACTTCTTGTGCATGGTAAATAATATTATGTTGATTTTGTACACCTTTATGATCCTTTAGTATTCTTATATACAAGCTGCTGAAGGAGGGCTTTTGGTGGCTGCGAAGACAGTATGAAATTGGCCTGCCAGTATCCATTTGCCAGGGAGTGTACTAGTATAATACGATGAATCTGTCACCTCTTGTGCATATCAGGTAATTTATGTATTTTGGTTTTATTAAAAAACCTGTATAATTTCTTCCTCTTTGGTATTTACAAGGTTCAGAGAGCTAAATATTTCTAAAATTCGTATCTCTCTTACCTGAATGAGATATTACTTTTCGGGCTATTCGAGTGCTAACAATGAATGAGTGCATACACACATATATATTGCAATATACTATACAATAGTAAATAAAATGGTTTGACTACAGTGGTTGGTGGGAATATGGAAATTTTGACGCATAATTCTGACTTGTTTTCCCAGCTGTACTCCAGTGGACTGGTCCAGGAGGATGGGGACTCCTCCCGCTTCGAGGATTTCGGGATGTTCGACCCAGAAGATGTGAAGAAAGAAATAAAGCGTGGATTACATTTGGTAATTATGATAACGAGTGATGCTCACCCCGTTTCCTGTTCCTGAGCTTTTGATTTCCTATCATTATGCCTGTCAATGGACCTGTCAATCTTCCTCACCCATGTGCTATCAACCTGCTTTTAAGTTCACCCCATTTCCTGTGTCTGACCTTTTGATCTGTCATTCTTTTGTGTGGAGATGCCGAGTGAAAGAGACTTGGCAGCTAAAATGTATTTGAATGGTAACTACTTAAAGCTAGTCAATCTTCCCTACCCACATGCTGTCAATACTCTTTCCAGACAAATAGACACACAAACTCACAGCTCAGCCTCCCAAACAATATTCCATAATTTCCATTGTTCATCCCCATTGTTTAACAGAGCTGCAGTGTCTGTCACAAGAAGGGAGCCACCATAGGCTGTGACAGAGAGGAGTGTACCAAGACCTGCCACTACAAGTGTGGCATGGACCATGATTACGTGTTCGAAGAAAATCCTGATGAAGGACAGTTCCTGTGAGTACTCCTCTCCACTTCAACTTTTGTGGTAATATTATAAGGCAATTACAGAGCTGGTATACCAGAATAGTTTGGCTAGCCTCTACTAGGCTCCTGATTGGAAAGATCTAGAGTTCCCATCTCCAAGCAAGTTTGAACGGCTACAAGGGGAGCTTAAGATTCTACGGCCCCCAACTGTGGAATAACTTGTCACTTAAGCAACGTCAGACAGTGGGGCTGGTACAATTCAGTCAGGGATTGGGATGTTATGAATGTATTCTGAATAGTGGAAAATGAATGAGTTCCTTTGTTATACTATATGTCATTTTGGATTATGTCTGTTTCTTGTAATGTATAATGTTTGTCAGTATTTGTACTTGTATGCCCAGCACTACCTGAAAAACAGTTTTTTTAATGTAACCTGAGTGTATTCTGCTGGTAAAATAAATAAATGAAATGAACTGAAGCCTGGTAGAGGCTAGGTTTGTCATGTGTGAAGTTACATCAACTTACATGGTGTAATGGTTACAGTGTTGGCCTAGGAACCAAGAGGTTCTGGATTCAAACCCCTGACATGCCCATGGTATAAATTTCAAACTACTGTCAGTGATGCAAATTAATTTGCTAAGGATATGACTCATGAGCCCAAGAAGCAAACTCATCTTGACTTCATTCCTTCTAGGATGTACTGTCCGAGACACAAGGACTTGACAAGCGATGCGGATGATGATGATGAAAATTGGAACTCTTCCGAGGAAGATGAAAGGGATGAAGAGCAAGATTCAGATGACGAGAACACAGACCCAAGTTGGGATGCCTCTCCTTCCAAGAAGGCCACCCCTAAGAGACAGTCTGTAAGAAAGAAGGGACGTCCGCCTAAGAAAAGAGGACAAAAGAACGAAGGGAGTAGTCCTCGAAGAAGGTAAAAATGGGGTGGGGCAAACATCATGTCAAGGATGTGCTGTTTCGAATAAACTGCTACGAAGGCAAAATGGACAACTGGCTACTGTACATGTAAATGCAGACACTTTTGCGGTATTTTGTATTTTTGAAATTTTGAACCATCACTAGGTGATGTGATGATTGACAGAAGAAAAAATAGTTGCTGGCATTGACAAATACTGGTAATGATTCACAGTATTCTGACTTACACTTTCTCGGTTTTTGTTTTTCTTACCAGTAAACGTGCACGCACCACAGTAAGATACAGGGAAGAAGATGAAGATTCTGTCTCTGATGAAGAAGGGCGCATACCAGTGATACGCAAGGTAATAAGCATAAGATGTTGAGGAATTCATGAAGAATATACTGCATTATGTCGTGCACTAAAGATGGAGAGTGTGGGATACATAAAATCCGGGTCTACCGGTATATACAATTTTAGAATAGCCAAATATACAGTTCATTAGTAATACTGATGAAGAGTGGTGGATGTCGCTCAGAGGTCCAGAAATCATATCCGCAATTTATCCAGTAGCATAGTTTTAATTTTCTATGAATTTAATACACACTTTGACTTTCAAGGTATCACCCAAGAAGGAGATCAAAAAGAGAGCCCAAGACGAAGAGGAGGAAGAACAGGATCCTGAGAAGGAAGCGAGTGAACCAGAAGACCAACCAGACGGAGATGCACAAGATGATGCAGAAGATGATGAGGAAGAGGAGGAGAGTGGAGATGAAAAGATGGAGAAGAAAGATAGAGCACAGAAGACAGGTGAGACCTAACCTATTTTTTTAAAAAAAAGGTCAATGAAATGGACCTGATGGCTGTTACCATGGTAACTGGTGCTGTAGCAGACACCCTGTGGTGTTGGATAACATTATGTAGAAGGTAGCAAGACAGAGTTGGACTCATATCACCATGTTTCATTTCTTATTTTCTGCAGATGTCTGGGACCACAGTAGGAAGGCTGGGACGCTGGGTGCCGTCTGCAGCAGGGTGAAACAGGCCATGCAGTCAGCTCTCAACAACATCCAGGATGACACAGCCTCGGAAATGGGTAGGACATGTTTCTATGCAAAAAAAACAACCACCTCTCCATCATAGATATAAACTCTGCTTGGGACAGACAGACACATGCCTACAATTTTGCCAAGAAAAGCATGCTCAAAATTCTCTTTATATCAGTGAAAAGAGGTTTCAGGCCAGCATCCGAAGGAATTTTGGGTATCGTCTGTTGACTCTTCGATTGAGATAGAAACTGTAGTAAAGTGTAAATTTTCGACCCGGAAAATGTTGTTCCACATTGGAGGGGCTGGGAAAAACAAATTTTCATTGGCATGTAATTGTCCCCATGTTGTGTATGAAAAAGTTTCAGTATCAATTGATGAAACTATTCAGAAACATCATTCTCATGACATTGTGTTTTGCAATCTGTTCCCACTTTAGAGTATGCAGCAGTCACTAGCTTCATGGAAATTACCGGTCTAATGGAGGAGATTCAAAAGGAGGAACAGGGTAGTGGAGAGAAGAACAATGGACAGACTAAGAAAGAACAACCAGAAGAAACAAAGAGTCAAGACGTCCCACCGAAGAAAGCTTCTCGGTTCCATTCTCCAAGGAAAGGGGTGAAGAAGTAGTGTTGGAAGTTGATCGTGGCTTGATTCTGTGAATCTTCAGTGCAAGGAAAAGAGGACCTAAAAAAAATAGATCTTAACTACAGTATGTCTATCTTAGGTGAAGTCAAATCAAGTAAAAATTAGCCATTTCCGTGCATGAAGTAGACATTTGAACACAATTTTGGAAACGTAATAATTCTTGTTAAGTTCTCATTTTGTCTTATAAAGTAGAAGTGTAATGTTGTAGGTCTTTGTTAAGTTTTAGTAACGTAGCTGAATAGGTAATTTGGTGTAACTTGCCATGCACTATATTATGATAATGAAACAAAGCAGCACATCAGCACAAGGTACTGTGTGACTGTGTCTGCATGAAATTTAGATCGTAAGCTGTGCATAGGCAAATCTACAAATCTTATCATTCAAGATTGTGTTTGCATAGTTAAGGATGATATCCCTTCTATAGTTTTCAAATGTTGTGTAGGAAAATATATCTTATGCAGTGGACAAAATTCTGATGCAACATTGGCCAAACACTCAACAGAAACCATGGTGTAATGCAGAAGCAGTATGTTTGGCCAGTGTTCTAAACAAAGCCATGTAGCAGTGTTCAATGCAGTCTATACAATTGTAGCTCATTTGAATTCTGTGCCTTGTAATGTGCCAGTGAATGCAGTGTAGCTTTCATTTAGTGAAGTGACTTCTTAAAAATAATTTGGCTAGCCAAGGGAGACTTCTTGAAAATAATTTGGCTAGCCAAGGGAGACTTGTTAAAAATGATTTGGCTTGCCTAGGAGACTTTATCAAGTGTCAGTATAGAGGCAACGTGCCATATTTTATTGTGCTGCATCATAATTGCATTTGAATGTGCAACTCAAATTATTCTACAATTGAGTGTGTGCTGTTATGATCGAAGCATTTCTTTTCAGGACCTAATATGATACAGTAGACTTAGGCATACAGTTTTGCATGTGAGTGTATACAGTAGTTGTAGTAGTCTCGGTGCTTTAATTGATTTTATAGGATACCATTATAGATGTTTATTAATTAGGTATACGTAAGGGTTTAAGGTTACAATACATTCCATAGGTTTCTTCATCTTAAAAGTAAAGTATTGTGTACTCAAAGGACCTCTCCTTACCACTCTATAAGCCAAATAGTGAAAAACAGACTGAAGAGCATGAATAAATATGTTCCAAGAGAGTAGACTCCAAATGTACATTTCTGTATTTAAGTCATACTAACCTGGCTGTACCCAAAATTGTCAGGCTTAAAAGGTACTAGTACACAAAAGACATTTTAACTGAATTAGATAGCACACTCTCACTCAACGTTAGCCTTCAGTTAAAATTAACCTGAACGAAACATAGCACCAACATGTCATTGAGTCAAACTAATCAGAAATACTTGTTTTGCAGTCAAAAGCTAAAACAAAAATTGTCTTTTACTCTTGCCCTATCTTTATTTTGCAACTCTTTTGAGGGCAGCCAAAGCTGCTCTCTTCAAGAAGGTTTGGTTGCAGTCCAGAGCAGCAGTGAAGATCTTGACATCATCTTGAGACATCTGCTTCCCGTATGTCTTAATTATAGCCAGGACGAGCTTAGTGAACTTGAGGTCAGAGTTCAGATTCTCTGCATGCGCCCCAGTAGCTGTGGTGAGGTCAGAGAGCAAAGTGCTGTCCAGTGGAGGCTTCTGGGTAATGACTGTCTGTAGCAGGGTTATGGTGGTCTCAGACCAAGTTTCAGCTCCGTACAGCACTTGAAGAATTGATATGAGATCCTGAAAAAAATTCATACAAACATTTATGTATACACAATAAGGAATATCACCCCACAAAATATTTTCTGAATTCTAAATGTTTTATATTTGTATGTAATGTACTAGTATATAAATTTCTAAAAGAAAGTTGACTTGAAGCGAATGCCAGTTCATTTCAGCAACTCTGGATAGTTAAGTTTTCTCTAAATTTCATCCAGTAGTAGAGTTTAAATTGTCTACGTATGAGTTGCTATCCTTCCTTATTGTATTGAACATACAGTACCTGTCGCTGTGTGTCTGATTCGGTGACCAGCCTGTTCAGGACGTCCCACAGCCAGCTGCCCTCCCCCATGGTCGTCAGCAGCGGCCTCACAGCCGTCTCAACAAACGGGCGCGGGTACTTCCTGATGGAGTGGATTGAACTTAATTTTAGAACTATGAATACACTTATTGAAAAGAGTAGGGGTCTATCCCGCGTGTTAGTGGATCAAACCTTACAGTCTGGTTTTACACAGCCTGTACTTACTGTACAAAACCAGCATGTTATGCCTAAGGGAGTTTACTGGTATGTTTCACCCAATTTACTCATTTAAGACTTGATTCTGACATGTTTCACTCAATTTAGTCATTAAAGATTTGATTCTGACAACCCTTGAAATGATGTTTCAAAGGGTTTAAAATTCAGACGTAAAATTGAAAATTTAATGGACTTGCCAGCAGTTGACTGGGTTTTTGCTAGACTGGGTCGGGAAACCAGAAACACAAAATTTTTTCCTATGCCTTACCAAGGAGGTTATAGGGATATTCCAGTATATAAATCTGCTTGGCCTTACCTTGCAAATGCTACAATAGCTGCAGACAAATTCCTTGATGCAGACTCCCTCTCTACATCATGTAGCTGGGTAAGAAGACACTGCCTTATGAACACACAACAGTTGGTATGGCTGGGAGGTGGTGTAACTTGTGTCATGAAATGACAGGCACCACACATGGCAACTTCAGACAGCCCAAGTTTGAGAAGCTGAGCGCAGGCACTCTCCATCTGCTGCGGTGAACAGCTCGTAAAGAAATGGTGTTCTGGGCCAAACTCAACCTGTGAAGGTACAATATACAACTGTGAGATAATATTGACAGCTTCTGTAGTACAGTAGTAGTTAGTAGTGAATTCTTTCATCAGTGACAACTTGGAAGGATAAGGATACTAACCTCCAAATTTTATCCTTCCAAGTTGTCACTGATGAAAGAATTCACTAGTAACTGTATCTATATGTGACAAACGAATCTCTTCAACGATATTCTGTAGTAGTAATATGAAAGCTCTAAGAGTACAAGGCCATGCAAATTTAATTTTCTCGTTCTTAAGTTTCCTGCAAAAAAACAGAGAACCGATGAATCAAATTGGTATAGCCTAAGCAGTGATTGAAATATTGAAGAAATAGCACAAACACCTGGTCTCCTTGAGTCCATTTTTGGTGCAGCTCAATTAAGACATCACTTATCTCCTTGGGAAGCATCTCCTTGGAAGGTGTCTCCTTGGAAATGGACTCTTCAGCCAACTCAACTTCATGTTGAACTTGTGTCTCTGGTGCAGGAGGTACAAAAGAACCAGACGTCATATTTTCTCCTTCTGCGGGTTTCTCCTTCATACTGTCTACCTCAAAGTTTTGAACGTCCGGTTCAGAAGTGTTTGTTGCATTTCCATCCAAGACTTTGTTATCTGTTGCAAAGTTTAGCACTTCGTTGTCCCCTTTTTCTTGACTTGGCTTCTCAATTTCAGCCTCTATTGGTGTTCTTTCCTTGGAGTGTTGTGCAAGAGACGTTTGTAAAGCTGCTTGTATGGAAATGTCTTGCTCCTTTGAGTGTTCTATCACTGCACTTTGGTGTGAAGGCATCGAACTGCTGTAAAACATTAGGATGACAGGAACAAGGTTACAATATCACCAGTACAAAGTTAAAACACATCTTAACCATGCATATCACTCAAAATTCCAATACACAATATAAAAACTGTAAATCCTCTTCTACCTGAATTCCTCCATATACTGTCCAAGTATCACCCATCCTGGTCATCTAAGGTTTGACCTCCCTATCAATCATCTGCCAAAATCACCTCCCACCCACCATGCAAATTGAAGCTATTCAGACACCCTAAATTGGCTAAAAGATAACTCCGTACATGGAAACCTAATTTTGAAAAAAAAAATTGAACTGTCACTGTAGTACCTTTCATGTTTCAACTTTTCCTCCAAGACAGAAGGCAGCCAATCAAATTCCAAGCCTGGTTTCCATGGATACCGCCTCTTCCTGTGTTGTTCTGAGATTCTCCTGCCCAAGTCTGCACACCTGGTCAGGGCTGCAGCACTCAGGCAACTCCTGTTTCCTGCTGGAGGTGGTTGGAATAATATGGGAGAACAAATTAACTACTGATCTCCAAGCAGATGTTGTGGTGGAAGATTGTCGTTCGCTCACGTTGCCATGAAGCACCAGGCTATCAGAAAAATCTGGCATGTAGTCAGAAAAATTCTACATCCCAACATCTGCTTGGAGGATAAGAAAGAACAACAAATATCCCTGCAAGAAATATTGTTCCAATCTAGCTAGCTATATTAGGAATCACCACAATTTACACAAGCCACAAGCTACATTTGTTGTAAGCTAAGTGTGGATCCCAATAAAGTCAAAGTCAAAGCCACAAACTTTGTACTTTTGATTTTTAATAGTCCTTTGTTTTACCGATGCTTGCCCCTGTTTAACTGTTACTATAAAGCTTTGTACAGCTGTTAGTGCTTTCTTGAAACCAATTAATCGTCTTATATGATATCAAAGGCTGTGCTGTATACAGAATCTCCCAAATAACCTTCTTCAACTTACCCGCCATTGTGCTGAAGTTGTAGGTCGTCCATCGCGTGAGGGTTGCTGCCTGTTTAAATTTGTCGACTTAGATTTCATTCCATTCTGTAATCATATGCAATATTGATAATAAACCAATAAAGATAAATTACTGGTGTATTAATATATTTATGTAGATTCAAATGGATGCTTTTTAAAAAATCTTTGTCATACCAATATTTTGGCACTATCTTGTCGATGTTTAAGACAGCTATAAAATACGTCGTCCCTACGAAGGTCCTTCTAGATCTTCGCTCCAGTCCAAACTTTTCATTTTTGATTTCAGGGTAAAGTTTAGGACTTTTGGCCTTTGCTAGGAGATAACAAAGGTTGTATAGCTTTTCGGAGACTTATATATATCTAGGAACCTTAACAGGAGTCGTGTATTGCTGTTTGTTTTGCCAAAATCGCGTGTAAATTGTTCTGAAGTTGGTGCCCCCCTCCCCCTTTCACATGTTACTGTGTAATGATGTTGCAGCATGTAACGTTACATGTATAGAGTAACGTGATCTAGACAACAGAACGTCGAAGATGAAGTTGGCAGACCGTCTGAGAAATGTCTGAAGAAGTCGGAGTGACGGACGCAGACACGGAAGGCGCGATGCCGGGGCTGGAAGTTCCCAACTGGTGCGAGGGGTGCGCCGGGTGTCTGGCTCTCAGGAAGGTGGGACAAAAATTTGTGTATAATTTGGAGGTTCATATACTTTGCTGCTCTGTTGGGTAGATTAGAAAAAAGGGGCGTTTCCACAGGTATCATTTCAGACTATGCTTGAGTTCATGTACAAAATGACCGAATTATAAAGTATTTGTAAAATAGCTACTGTAACACAGGAAAAAGTATTTGCGCGAAGGTTGACTCATCAGACTCTCCGGGATCAAACCCGTGCCGATTATGCCAAAAGGTCCAGGACCCATTGGCCTGGGCAGTAAGTGATGCCTATCCCTATACAAGTGTATACTCGTTGTTACACTACCAAGACCATATCTATCTAATATCCAGGCTCTAATATCAGCTCAGAAAAGAACAAGAAAGTATGAATTTATACCAACAAGACTTTTTTTGTGTCTTCTTTATTTTATTATAGGAGTTGCAGGACAAAGAGGCTGAACACAAGAGAGTGTGGCTGGCAGTCAAACAGAGGGTTATCTCTACTGAGTAAGTTGTGATGGCCATACAACATTTTTCCAGTCAAGATATTGTTATTGTTATTGGGTAGATATGTAGATATGAAAGTGTTGTGTGTTACGAGCAACAAATTATGTTCCATTCTATGATGGAAATGACATTGACAGGCTAGAGAAAAAACCTAGTGTTGGGTTGTATTTTTTATTGATTATTTATATTACTCTAATTCAGAGAAGGCATTGATGTTGCAACAAAGTTTTTCATGACTCATTGTTATATAGAATCAGCCTATTGCAGTGGATGTAAGTTAAAAGAAGTCAGTAGTTTGTAAGAAGTAAGATGAGACCTAACACTTGCTCTTGTATTTTACAGCTTGCTCTTGAAGCAGAATGCCGAGTATAAGGCCAGATACAACGCCAAAGCTCAAGATATCCTCAAATATGTAAACCAGTTTACGTCAAACATATGGTTCAAGGGTTACTTACGCTGTATATACAGTTACATGTATATAACAGAATGATTTCTCTATACCAGTCATTTGCACAGTAACACCCGATACAGAAGAAAAATCCCGATACATGTTCACATTTGCATTACAACAATACGTAGTCGTATATAAGAAAACTATGAAGCGTTAAAGTACACTTTTAAAAATTAACTGTTGGAATTGATTTGATTTGAAGTTGGTAATACACGTATTATGAATTTGATGTAGATATCGCATAATCTAGTATTAGATACATAATGTATATGTATAACCCTTGCATTACAATGTTTTGAGATGGTAGGACAAAGCGTATAATACACTCCTTACACCTGATACATTTAAAAGTATTTTCATACTTGCTTGCATTTATTGAGCAATATGTCATTATGAACACAATATCATGACTGGTGTTTGGAGTGTAGATAGAAAAAAAACATATCTTTACCAGACAGAGATACGTGTATTTCAAAACAGAAATATCAGCTATTTCTAATTGGGACAAGTAACTCAAGAAAGGTACCTCAGACTTTTTGTTTGTTTTTATATCTCTATATGCCTTTTGCTTCACCTCAGTTGAGGATGACAAAAGAAGAAGAAGAAGATGTTGATAAAGACATACCAAGCAAAATTTTTGTGCCCAAAACTCGAACATATACCGACAAACCAACTATACAATGAGTTCATTTTCATTTGCAAAGTGGCACAAATTGAAAAAGAAAGTAAGTATGTAATAGAAAAGTTGAAGCATGACATTTCATGCTACTCCTCCTACCATCTTTGGTAGTCTTGTTCTTTCTTGGTATGTATTTGGTATGGACTAAGCAGAAATAAGAGTTGCAATGTCATCTTGTCTCTCCTCATATTCTTGTCACCTGTGACCAAAATCCACTGGAAATCCCTGTGGTGGAATTGTGCGATGCTTGCACTGTGGCATGGTGGGAACTTTCCAAATGATTTGCACCGTACCCAGGTATGTATTTGCATATTGACTTGGTATTTGGTATGCAATTGGCAGTCAAAAGGCACAGAGTGGTTTAGGCCTAGGGAATGCATTTTCACGTTCAGCCTCTTACACCTGTGCCTTTAGTTCATCTGCCTTACAATCAATAGCAAAGCTTGTTTCATACAAGTGGAATTACAACATGATAACTCAGAAAAATTATGACGCCAGTTTAATTGTAACAAGAAAAATCAACTCTGTCTTAACATCTGAAGAAATAATACTAAACTGTTGTTAAAAAAATTGGTTTTGAGAAATTGGTTTTGGTTCAATGAGTTGCTTTTCAAATCTATACATGACATGTTTTGGCTGTACCATTAACTCAAGATATCCTCACACTTGTGTGAAACATTTAGGCACAGAATTGCATAATTATGTAATGCATGGATAGCAGCCATATGTATCATGTTATAACACTTATTAACAGAAACCAATATGAAGGTGTTAACAAATGGTTATCTTAGCTGTTGATGAGCTTCAGTTCCTTGGCTGAAATACACATTTGTATAATTTTAATATGCTATTGGATCATAATGTTTGTTCGTATGGCATATTCATCGTCTATTTCAAAATAGCTGAATCCTACAACTACTGTTGGTCTACTACTGTTGGTCTCAAATTATTCTTACTTATATTTAATAATGAGATATTGAATAATTTTGGAGAACTTGAGTTGGAAAATATGCGATCCTAACTTGATCAAAGCAGTGCTCTTGGAAGAAAATTTGTGTTGCAGCTGTTGCCAGATTGGTTTATTGTTGATTGCTTCTCTTTCCTTGACGATTTTGTTTACAATGTGACATTCAGCGTCAGAAAATAGAGGAGGCATCACGACAGCTAGCATCAACTGAAAGGTAAGGTTTTGATTTACAAGAGTCTGTTTCTGAACTAAGTGTACTAAAGCATGAAACTTTTGTGGTGGTTTCTTTTGCAGTGGGAGGGAAATGGAGGTTTTCATTGTGTTTTATTACTTTTCAATGCACAAGTCTGTAGTAGAGTAGTCATATAAGGAAGACATATTTAGAATGTCATGAGTTTGTGGTGGGGAGGTCACTATGAAAACTGGGAAAGCTAACTTTTTATTCTACATTTGGGATGAGCTTGTTGGTGACCTTTCTGTAATCTTTGCCCCTTAGACATTGTGAGACCCTCCAAATGCAGTTGGACAGTGCCCTTAAGGAAATGGAGCCTCTTAAAAAGGTGAGTCTTCTGAATGGTGTACTAATTTTGAAAGGATATCAAGCAAAACTTAAACTTGAATTATGTATTAAATTGTAATGTCATGTTAAAAAACATAGTGAAAGCTTCTCCTGTCATACAAAAAGGCCTTTAAAGATTTTGTATCCTTAAGGAAGCTCTAAAGTTCTAGGAAATGTTTCTTTATTTCAGAGGAACCGAGAACTTGAGAAGAGCCAGGAGAAGTGTAGAGCAGAAGTGGAGGAGGCACGGGACAGGATCAGGGCTAGTGAGGTACAGCAGCACTTTACTACAACTATAGATACTATTCTTAACTTATTGGATTACTAATTATCAGATCAAAGAATGTAATTGAATGGCAAGCTATCCACTGAAGCTTTCACATACTGCAGAAGGGCAGTTACTAAGTATTCAGGTACAGCTGAATACTGTAGTCAGTTGATCTAATTATCTGGTTTGCCGTGTGCATCAGTGAGTACATGTGTCTGTGAAATGTTGACTGAGTTTGTTTGTGTCCCCTCAGGGTCTGTGTCAGCAGTACAGGGAGGTCATCAAGAAGTTTGAGGATGAAGAGGCTGCTAGGGAGGCCAACAATTCCAGGTACGTTCAGACAGTTTTACTAGTATTTATTTATTGAGTTTTTTTTCCAGATATTTGTGGAAGGATCAACATAACAGGATGATGATGACCTTTTCAAGATGTCAACCATTAGACCAAACTATCTTATTTGAACCACTCACACAAGGCTTGTTGTAGTCATGATGTGTTTTGATATGAGCCTATTGGATGTTCTGCATCTTTTTGTACTTAGCTCTCAGTCTGTATGACCTACATGTAAAACAATGCATTTTTTTTATTACAGTGAGAAGAAGGTTTCTGTTGCCAAGCTACAAGGTATGCCACGAAGTTCTTAACTGTCCAGAGATGTCTTAAATTCTACACTGCTTTTTCTTTTGTGACAAATACATTATTCAGCATAATGAGATATTGAAGTCTAAATCTGTGATTTCTTGTTACTTGCTGCTTTCTTCAGAGGACCTGGCCAAGCTGAAAGCTGATCTCACTTCAGAGAAAAGGAAAAGCAGAGGCCTGGAGAGAGAACTGGACAGAGCGAAGGTAATATATTCTGCTACTCTCAAGCATAAAAGCTCTATAGTTTGTATGTTTGAAAGTGGAAATTTCGACCATTTTAACCATTTTTTTTCATGATGTATTTTCAGTACATACTCTAGTTACTCTAGTACATGTTTACTGCACAAAAATTGTATAATGTTACAATGTAAGGTAAAATTCTAAGGTTACAAATATTGATTTGAAATTGTATGTCTACTATACAGCTAGATATAATTATGTTAAATTGTACAATGAAATTGTTTCTGTTTTAGGTTATGATAGAAGGGCTTCAAGAGCAGAACTCCAGAGTACAGCAAGAAGGTAATGTTCAGAATTTGATGTTACACTCTCTCTGTATTCAAGTTTGTATAGATGTAAAGATTTTGGAGTTTGTCCTTCTTTTTCTGCTTGTATTGTGGAGTTGTAAATTTCTCCATGCGTAATGAACTATATGTATGTGATCATGTTTTTTCTGTCTTTCACAGCTGGAGAACCTGCATCTATTCCAGTAGTTACCCCAGCAAAACAGCCCAGAACAAGCCATGTAACACATACAAGAACCCCTAAACAAAAGGCACCATCCCCCATCAGTGCAATGAGCTGCTCCAATACAGCCAATGAAACCAGTGATGAGGAAGAAGAAGTGAACTGGTCCACTGTGCCAAACAGGGGTGTTCTGTCTCCTGTTAGGCTGCTGTCACCCTTGTCGCCCCTCCCACCTACACCAGCTCCATGTAGAAGAGATGACAGGGTGAGAGAGGATTTTGTCACTCTGTCATTTGCTCACATATTTTGTTAGTTTATTGGCATATAATCAAAGAAATAAAATGAATAATATGATATAACATAACAGAAGGAGGTAAGATCCTAAATTTTCTGCTAAAATTAGGAGGAATATTACAGCAAATTTGCTACTTACAGCCCATACACACACAGCAGAACATTATCACTTATTTCTTTCTTTGATATGACCCAGTTATTAATAGCAGCTACTTTTTTTGCAGTTTTCCTCATCAAGTGACAGCTCGGATGACAACAGTGACATGGACGATGATGCAGACAGAATCGAGAGTGAGCTCCTCGGCGGCACCCAATCGCTACCATTCTCTGACACTGACATTGCTGACGAGAAAGCCAACGAACCACCAAAGCTTTCTCCTGTCAGGAGCAACTATCGTAACGGAATACATAGGTCTCCTGTTCTCAAACAGTCGCCAACTGTCAATGTTAGCAAAGAGAATGGAAAGGCCCAAGTTAAACGGTTTCCTAGAGATCGTGTTAACTGCTCAAGTACTCAGAAACTTACCAGAAGTCAAGACAGGAGGGGACAGAAAAGGCCACCTCTGAGGAGAGCAGCAAAAGCTAAGGCTGCTCCAATGGAGGAAGAAATTACGCCACCCATAGAATCTACCAAAGCAGCTGTAGAGAACGATTGTCGCTCATGGTTTGGGGAAGTTGAGGATCTGAGTGACAGCGAGTCTGATTCCTGTCTGGAAAAAGAAAAGGACAGAGAGATAAAAGCTAAAAATGGTGGTGAAGATTTTGCCTCCCCGCCACGTATGGCGAGGTTGTGTTCTTCAGCAACAACAGAATCAAACAATGACACAACTGAAGAAAAGAGGAAAACTAGAGCAAAATCAGAAGTGCTTATTTCTCCACTGAAGAAGACAAAGACAACAGGAGTAACTCCTTCCAGGTATCCCTTACGATCACGGTCTGGTGACTCAAAACAAGAACAAGAACAAAATGGCGATGCTAGTTTCTCACCAAGAAAGAAAAACAAGTCAGAGTCAGATGCTGATGACATAGGGGGAAAAGTGAACTCCCCCACTAGGTCCCAGTATGAACTGAGGTCAAGACAGGATAACAAGACTGACAAAAAAGATGACAGAATAGAGGCAGAAAATACTAAAGACAAGACGAATGTTGTAAATGAAAGTAATGAAACATTGCAGGAACAGACAGCAACAAAAGATTTGCATGAGAAAGAAGAAAAGCCAGTGGACAGCAGAAAGTTAAGCAACAGCTTAACAGAGGAAGAAAGTGACAAAGATGAAGCTGTGAAACCACAAAGTCAAGAAGAGAACAAAATGTCTTCTGGCTTTGACGAAGTTTGCAATAATTCAGTTGAAAACAACACCACAGACTCTGAGTCAAACTCAAAGATTTCTTCACCACCTCATGTGGATCTGCCTGCTGCACCATCGGTAAATAAAGATCCTTCTAACAACGCAAAAGCAGAATCAGATCAAGAAGGTACGGAAAAACCAAGACCAGATTCACCGGAATTCAGGAGGCCGCTTACAAGGTCACTGAGTCATGGCGGCAAGGTCAATCCTGGAAGCAGAAGAGACAGTTCTTCCTCTGAGAGGGAGGGGGACGTCTCACCCAGGAGGGTAGCAAGGTTGAAGACCAAATTGGTAAGTCCTGTTGCAGGCCCTAGCTCAATAACACGTAGCAGAAGTTCGTCTTCAGAAAAGAGCCACTCGGATGTTGACACGAAGGACAACCTTTTTAACCCTCCTAACTCGAACCCAACTAAGAGGGCAACCAGGTTGCAGACCAAATTGGTAAGTCCTGTCGCTGGTCCTAGCTTAAGAACACGTAGCAGAAGTTCATCTTCAGAGAAGAGTCTCTCAGATGTTGACATGAAGGATAAGCCTTGTAACTCCAACACACCGAAGAGAGTAACCAGGTTACAGACCAAATTGATAAGTCCTGTCGCTGGCCCCAGCTCAAGAAGGCGGAACAGAAGTTCGTCTTCAGAAAAGAACCTCTCAGATGTGGATACAAAAGACAGCCCTCCAACCAAGAAGGCAACCAGGCTGCAGACTAAATTGATAAGTCCTGTTGCTGGCCATAGCTCAAGAACGCAGAACAGAAGTTCATCTTCAGAAAAGAGCCCGTTAGATGTTGACACAAAGGACAACCCACCTAAGAGGGCAGCCAGGTTGCAGAGCAAATTGGTAGCTGGTCCTAGCTCGAGAACACGGAGTAGAAGTTTGTCTTCAGAAAAGAGTTTGTCAGATGTTGACACAAAGGACAACCCTACTAACCCATCTAACTCCAACACACCCAAAAGGGTAACCAGGCTGCAGACCAAATTGATAAGTCCCCTCTCTGGTCCTAGCTCAAGAACGCGAAAGAGAAGTTTGTCTTCAGAAAAGGGCCTCTCGGATGTGGATACAAAAGACAACCGCCCAAAAGTTGATTCGCCAAGGAGGTCCATGAGAAAGTCAGACATGGCAAGCTTGTCTTCATCAGAACAGATGACAAACAGAGATGCAGAGAAGAGTGCACCGAAAAGTGTTTTATCACCTAACAAATCAGCCAAACACTTGAGAACAGAAGATACTTCTGGAAACATTCATTTACAAGTTAATGTATCAGATAAAGAAACATGCACAGCACAAAGAAATGTAACATCTGCCTTGGACATAGCACCACAAATGGTCACTGAAAAACCTGTTCCAAAAGCAGAACCACTTAATAACTCTACATCCCAAATCTCAAAGGAAGACGCTATTGTTAAGAGTCCAAAAGTGTGCACAACATCTGAAGCACGTAAGATGCTTGCTGTCAATAAAGTTGCTGTTGTTGTGTTGGAGCCATTGGAAAAAGTGTCACAACAGAGTACAGCATTGCAAAAGCATGTACCGCAAGAGCATCAAAATGGCAGACACAATGGTAAATCATGTACAATGGAAGCAGCTGCTACAAATAACAATGCGACCATTGATGAGCATACCATAAATACACCTGAAGTCCCAGATGAAACTAATAGAAAAGGCAGTACTTGTACAAATGATAATGCTAACCAACAGGTACACCAAGAGGTGGGGGCAAAGGCAGATGAACTTCCAAGTGGAGCAAGACAAAGCAGTGCAAAGGATGGTGCTAACCAGGAGGCACCCAAAGAGGAAGAGACAGCATGTGATACTATGGAGGAAGGGGAACTTTCAGAGAGTGAGACTGAAACCACAGTTAGTCTACCAAACAGTGCAGCAAGTGCACGAGAACATCAACCTATGGAGCTGTGTTTAAGGCAACAACCTGGAGTTAGCCTACCCGATAGAGAAAGCCCTCGGGTATCCAATAGGTCCAACCGGAGCAGCCTATCCACATCCCCTGTCTCCCCCCTCCCACCCTCTCCATTCGAGTCCCTAGCACTCTCCCCTCTGCCGGTTTCGCCTCTTCTGTTGGAACGTCCCATTTCGCCACTTCCACCCTCGCCGTGGGGGAGGTCAGCATCCCCTAGTCTGTCCCCTTCCCTGCCCATCTCTCCACTCAGGGAAACCCCCCTGCCACCGGTGGTATCACCCTTGCAACGTACTCCCCATGGGGACGATGGTTGGTCCCAAAGCGTCTCCTCCAAGGATGCTGCATCACCAAATGCAGAAAACCCTGCGCACTCCTCTCCGTGTGTGTTCCGGTCCGTCGCTCCAAAGGGAGCAGTGCAGGTGAAACCAAAAGCGAACCGTGGTAGGGGTGCTGCAAGGTCCCTCAGCATGGGAGGGAAAGACGCCTCCTGTCAAAACTCTTTGAACAGTTCTAGTAAAAAACGAGCAATCCTATTCGTACAAAGTGAAAAGACAGCCTGGAGAAGTGGTAAGAAAAACACACAAGCTGCACAAGATAAACAGAAGAGTACTACAAAGGCAAATTCAAGACCTACCACTTTGCCAATCAAGCCCAACAGTAAACAACAACCAAAAACCAAACCAGGAAAAGGCACTAATGCACAGAATGGCCCAGAGAAAGTAAACGAAGGGGCAACTTGCTCACACAATGGCCACGACATTACAGAAGAAACAACTACAACTCCTGATAAGAGCTCAAGACAAACTCTAAAGCAGACAGAGAAAGAAAAGATCAAGAAAGGACAGTCCTTGACACTTGAAGATGAAGACAAGGATAAGCAGACATCAGAGATGTCCAGACTGAAGGAAGTAGATCCTCAAGAGAAAATTGAAGAAGGAAAGACAAAAGAATCATCTCAGGTTCCTGACAGTGAAACTTTAAGTGCTGCAGAAGATGCAGTTTCATCTAAAGACGTTTCTTGTATAAGCGGTACATGTACCAGCAAAAGGAGCCTGGAGGAGGATGTAGAAGATGGGGAGATCACAGGTGACGAAAGCGATGAAGTCGTGGAAAGAAGGACGGTAAAGAAACTCAGGACAGAGCCCAGAGACAAGCTGACAGCTGACCATGTGCTGCAGTACATGAATAACATGCAAGGGGGAGCAACTGCTGCAGGTGCTGTCGACATTATCATGGAGGTACATGTATGTACATGATTCACTAGTATTTACAGAGCTACAGAAATTCATCATTTCAATATATTCATGACAAAATATGTCACATTGTATAGAACATACATTATATGATCACGGCTCGAAATGCTCCAATTTTACTAGCACTAGTACATGGACCAGTGCAGGGTAGGTGCAGGTAGACATCAGAAATACCTGCACAGCTCCAATTTTGCCTGCACTAACCTGCATCTACCCAGTACATGGACCAGTGCAGGTTATGTGCAGGTAGACATCAGAAATACCTACACAGCTCCAATATTACCTGCACTAACCTGCATCTACCCAGTACATGGATCAGTGCAGGTTAGGTGCAGGTAGACATCAGAAATACATTGTATACAGTTCCAATTTTACCTGCACTAAAAGTTTCTTGCATAGACAGGAATAATTATACAATGCCTTCTAAATGATTCTCTGCACACATTTCCAGTATCTTCTGCAAAGTGAGGAGGCCAGAGTGGACCTGTTTCCCAAAGTGAAGACCATGTGCGAAACCCACAATACAAAACTGCCAGTCATGACTACAGCTGAGATGGCCATACTGGGCAGGGTGACCTACCTGGCCAAGTTTGGCCAGTGGGAGGGTCTGGTCAGTCAAGTCAGCCGTGCCCTGTACACCGAGATCAGGCTGAACATCAGGAAAGAGCACCTGTTGGCTACCTGTAGGCTCTATACAGGGCTGTGTAGGCTGAGAGGTAGGTCCTGCTCACCCCTACTGTACATGGACTGGTACAGTCCAGAAATCTAATGTTACATAAAAATTGTAGAAAATGTAAAGAAAAATTGTTGAAGTATTTCTCAGATGCTGTTTAATTCTGGGTGCAGAAGTATTGTTGCTGATTTGGGGGGAGGTCTGCATGTCCCTTAATTGCTTCCAGTGTCTTGGCAGGTGGAAGGTGATTTTGACAGTTGATTGATAGGGAGGGTACATGAAGGTGTGAAGATGACCCAGCACACGCCTTTAGAAAGTGGTGTAAGACTTGCATAAATTGCATCATACAATCCACTACACAGTTCTCAAAACACTAACTGCAAAAACTTCCCAGAACTCTTATAATTCCAGTTTCATGTTTCATGTGTTTCTCCTCTTTTTTTCTAGGACAACTTGAACAAGTAAGAATTCTCGTCTACGACATTCTACGGGAAAAGCTGTTCTTCCCAGTGGACAGAATCCTGACCATAGTGTCCGTCTGGCCACTGGTCCTGCAGAGAAGTGGTCCTAACCTGGAGGATGGACCCATGTCACACGTGATCGAGCTAGTCGTGATGAGTCAGCACATTGCTGAAGACTTGAAGTCCTGCTTCAGGAGTCTCTACCAGTGGAAGGATGTGAAAGACGGGGATGTGAACAGTATGGCAGATAGACTAGTGGAACTTCTACAGAGGAAAGAAACTGCGGCACTGGTGAATAACACACACAGAGGTAAGGCTCTACTGCTGCTATGATGGAAATACATGTACATGTGCAGCCTTTTTGCTAGATTTATTTGAGTGTTTGAGCCTTCAGAAATGAAATATTCAAATCAGTTACTAGTAGCCGGCTGCTTAACATTGAGGTCAAGAGGATGAGTTATGTACATTGTGAAACTTGTGTGGTGGTTTTATTTTACAGTAAAAGGGAAAGGGAGGTCTTCCTGGTTGTTTGAATTTTGTAGTACAGGTAAAGATAGACATATTTGCTGTGCCATAAAAAAGTAAGACCAAGTAAGATACTGCAAAAGTTTCCCGATTTACAGTTAACTTGCCAGGGAGTTTATATCGTCCACCATCTCTTTAAAGTGATGGATGGAGTGCCCTGATTTTAAATTACATGTATACGGCCTCCTTTATACAAACAAAAACATAGTCCTGTTCAGTGTCCTGTATTTCTGACTTTGGGACTTTTTTTTCCAGTGAAGTACCCCCGTCTGAACCCCCTGATGTATGAGACAGCCAAAGCCCTGGAGCTGCTGGGCTCACACCAGGGCTGGAAGTGGACTCACGACCACCTCATACAGACACTGCTGCTGCCACTGCTACAGAAGTGGAGGGACAACAAGAAAGCAAAGTCTATCAAGAGCACCGTGCCTCAAGGCACTGTTGTTGCTATCATGCAAGTCATTGGTGAGTTCTTCTCTTTCTTTTTAACTTCTTTTCATAGATACTTGTGTACTTGTGTTGAGTTGTTAGTGTGTGTGTGTTGTGTGTGTGTGTGTGTGTGTGTGTGTGTGTGTGTGTGTGTGTGTGTGTGTGTGTGTGTGCATACGTGCGTGTGTAAGTATGTGCCCACCTTCTTCAAAAGCTACAAAAATACAAAGTACATTTGTACTAGTAAAATATAAAAATCCAAATACAAGCTGCCACCCTCTCATTGGTCACTAATTGCCATGCTGTTCGAACTACAAAATGTGACGTACAGTAAAGATTGTTTTATTTCCAATGACTCACTGTTGTTATTGTAATGTTCTTCTGACAGGCTGTGTTGGAAGGATTGGTCTGGCCGAGGACAAGTTATCCATAAACCAGCTACAGCAGGTGATGATAGACTTGCTCAATGAAGCAGTGAAGAAACCAAATTCAGGTACATACTAACTTTTTCATACTCCTCACATCATACTGTAGATGCATTTACTTTTGTGTTGGTTTTATTATGCAATAGAAGAAAAAAAAAAGAGATTTTATCGATGTTTCAAATTTGAGAGAGACATTCCTGTACTTGTAGTGTCATGAATTCACTGTAGAGTGGTCAAGTGACAGACTTACAGGATGAAACTTCAATACAACTTGAATTTCACCTGTGTTATATTCCCCCAGGGGATAGGAAGATATGTTGTTTTATCTGCTGTTTCTTGTAATAACTTGGATATCAAGCTCAAAATTAGGTGAACATCTTGATGAAAATATACAGTGAACAAAAGAAAATTGAAGTTAGTATGTGTAGAGAGGCAGTGATATTACGTCTTTTTTTGCTGATAATTTTGTTTGACAAAATGTCTTCTGCAGTTCCATGGGGTATACAGATAGCAGCAGCCTCCTCATTGGTCCAGCTGTCGCCTGGCAACCCTGGCCACGCCCTGTCTGCTCTGCAAACATGGATGAACCTACCAAGGCCCACGCAGTGTGTCTGTCCACCCCTCCTTCAGAAAAATGTGGAAACCCTGGCAAACTGCTGCAGATGAGATGCTGGACTGGTCCACTGGCCTTGGCAGGGGTCTAACTGTTATTTGAAATCTTATGTGCTTGGGTGGCAATGCTGACATGTAGATGTATATTTGAATTAACTATAACAATTTATCACTTCATTGATTGCTCTATGTACAGTTGATAACACAGAAAATTATCCAGAAGGACGGTCAAATGCAGTGGGAATATTTTTATTCTTCCAGCTGTGGAAATATTTGCTGCTTTCACAACAATAAAAGTTGACAGATTGAACCACTGTGATTATAACAGCCTGACAATTTACATTAAGATTTTGTTGACTGTTCATAAAATAATCATGGAAAGGCAAAGTTTTGTTAATGTTATGACATAGCCATGAATTGATTTGAAAATGTGCGAAAATTAATAAGACCTTCTGTGAATGATCATGTGTAATATTGAGATACAAACTGTACATATATTTTCTTGGTGCTATTTCTATTTGTACCTTTTTTCTTCACTAAAATATATGCAGTGACCCCATTGTTGTAATTGTCAACTTGGAGAAAATACATTAAAATGCACCACCTCATTTCAACTCACCCATCACCTGACCCCTACCTGTACACTGGGACACATGTAGATTGGGCTGTGCACACACATCTATAGTGATACTTTTAACAGAAACATTGCCGAACGCAATAATTGTTTGGCCGCAGTCAAGAGGTTATGTCCTTTGCAACACTTGCACAAGCACACAAGACTGACATCTTGATGCTACTTGAGATTAGAAAGGACACTTAATTAAGAGTTCTCAATTGGTCCCAGAGGCCTCTGTGTAAGAACGTTTAGCTTTCTTGAAAGGAAATGTTAAATTAGTAAACGTAAATAAAAAGTAAACAATAAATTCTTTGACATGAGCATTATAACTGCTATTAGAGGAAATATTATAGATAATCTAATGGCTTTTTCTGTTTGTCTCTCGAATGAACAGAAGAAGAGGAAGGCCTAATTGTCAAATATTTCCCCAACATCATTAAAATCCCCGACATTTGAATCTATGACAGACGTTTGTATAAATTTGATTTGTTATATCAAAATGTACATTTTATAAAAGAAGACCATTCTCCATGCATTATTATTATCACACTTTTTAAGACATGCCTTATTTTTATTTACTAGCTTCTTGCCAGTGTGACAAAGCTTTGGTCACTGTAGCTTGGTCAACTTTGGGAGCCATTTCCTTGATGATCGCCATCATTTCGTGCATGGAGTGAATCTGAGTCTCCCTGAGTGTATGGTCGTCTTGTTCCTCCAACAGACACCAGTCCTTGATCGCCCGAAGTCTGTCCTTCTGGAACGTGATGACGCGCAAACTCTGCAGAAACCTTCCCGGAACAGTGTAGACCGTGTTCATGGGTTCCCGGAAGAATTCCAGGTCCCTCGGCTCCAGCGTGAAGGCGTAGAACTCGCGCCAGGTACCGGCTTGTTGTCCGGGGCCCAGAGGACGAGTGTCCCCGCGACGGTGTTGTCTTTCGATCAGCTCCCCCTTTTTTACAAACCTGTACTCAAGAAATGAGTGCTGTAAACCGGAGACTCCTCATGGAAGTTGAGAGGAATCGCCTGGAATGTTGGGAACCCGCAGCCGACCTCCACGAGGTACACATCATCTTTTTCCGCCACGTTTCGCGCAACTACAGTAACATGTTTAATCCGATGGGAAACACAAGATACCAAGAAAACATCATAATCCAGCGCTTGGAGCAAGTAGAAGAAGAAGACGTTTTGCGTCAAGCATAGCCCGCCCTTTCCCGACAATACATCCTGCTTAATTTGATCTGGAGAAGGGGCTGCTCTGTCCTTTGTTTCCATAGAAAAGAGCGTCAGGTTTTGAAATGGTACAGAGTTGTGATAGGAGCGGATTGCTTCATTCAGAAGACCAAGCTTGTCATCCAGTAGTCTCCTCTCTGCACCTGTGATCCTAAGATCTCCCGCCAAAAAATTCAGAGCCTCCTCCCGGGTAAGCATCGTCTGAAATCAGATAACAAACCCAACGTTATGAACGCAGCAGGCATGAACTATGTTTTATATGATGTATTGCTGACAGTTTACATTACCTGATCATAAATAACAATAATGATAATAATGAATGATTTTATTGGTTAAACATTACGTGCAATCGCAGCCTTTATAGCGCTGAATTGATGCAGGGTTTACAACCACATCATACACATAACATTATGTCTATGTGGAACTGTCGCAAGGGACTGTGCGGCTGCCATTCGGCGCTACTAGGCTAGGTGACCTCAATGCGACCTTCCCCAACCGAAGTTAAGTACCCATTCACACCTGGGTGGAGTGAGGAAATTCGTGTAAAATGTTGCCTTTCCCAAGGGCACATCGTCGGGGCGCATGTCCGGACATATACCGGGTACAACTCGGGATCGAACCCGGGTCTCGCCGATTCATAGTCGAACGCTCTACCACTACGCCACACGGCGCCACGATTATGAATTATACTTTGAAGTAAAATAATACACACCCTTCCGTGTGATAATACTGAGCTGAGGTGACACTTGAATCCCGACAAGGAACGCTGTTTATTTGTATGTTCTTCTCAACGAAATTGAGGAAAGCAGAGACGGACTTTGGACGGAAGTCTTGTTTGCCCTTTGAACTTTCACCAGCCAGTAATGCAGGTACAGGTCACGGTCGTTTGGGGCTAACTCCGTCAATAGTAGTTCGGGCACAACGTAGTGCGGCACAGTACTGGAGGCCTCTGTGCAAGAACATTTAGCTTTCTTCGAAGAAAATGTTGTAGTAAACAGAATTGAAATTTAAGAAATCAGCAGCTGTTCAAAATGAAGCCAAAGAAGTTCACATACTCTTGTCTTGACTACAGATAACTGTGCCTTTATGTAACAATATATACATGGGCGTGTGTGTGTGTGTGTCTGTGTGTGTGTGTGTGTGTGTGTGTGTGTGTGTGTGTGTGTGTGTGTGTGTGTGTGTGTGTGTGTGTGTGTGTGTGTGTGTGTGTGTGTGTGTGTGTGTGTGTGTGTGTGTGCGTGCGTGTTGACAGAATTTACAAACTTGCTTCTAGGAGTTAAAGAGAATCTCGTATGTAGTGAAATTGTGAAAATAGTCCATAAAAATTATCCGATTGATACATTAGAGCATGGAGAACTTGTCAATAGTTAGGAATGTTTAAAACTACTTAGGGGTGGGTGGAGAAAGGTTGTGCTGGACGGTATGATAGTCCCCTACCCTCCAGACGAGGATGGGACAAGGTGAGGGTGAAGGGGGTGGGGTTATTTAAGGTTCATGTTGACAAGAACACATTTTAGAGATTTACTAGCACGTTCTAAAGCTTACATACAACACGTCTAGAGACCAAGTGCAAGGGTGTGAGTGACATCTGGATATTATGTCCCAACAGAGTAGAGTTGAGAGATTTGTCTAACGCATGGCGGGGTCCTGGTAACAGGTGGTACCGACTCCCCACTGGGACCCCCTCTGAGAGGGCCCACATGGGGGGATACTGGTAATTAACGCTACGCTTTACGGTAAATTTAGGAGGGTCGACATGGCTTAACGGTAAATTCAGGAAGGCGTGAACGCTTAACACAAAGTTGTCATTGTTTCGAAGTACTTTATAGGATTATTTTTGTGTTCATGGAGTGTGGGGCAAAATTAGCTACAATCTGCGGACACCGGACTTTTGTTGTGATATTTTGGCAGTCTATCGTTTATTCGCCTACGCCTTAAGAAGAATTGTTCAAAAACGCTTAATGATGAACGTGGAATAAAAACGACCAATTATATACGCTTTGAACATTGATACTTGATAATTTCTCGACAGCTTTTAAATCAACGCAGAATTAAAGCGGCCGAGTACGATTAAGTTAGGGGTGAATTAAAACGGCTCACGAAAAAAGGGCATGCTGACCCTCTTCTGAACCACTCAGCGCTCAATGGTGTGTAGATCCTATTTGCCAGATACGTGTGATTGACGCCGCCATGTTTATTCTATCAGGTCATTCAGAACAGGTGGCCAACGCTGAATTATTTACACGAAAACACTTCCTTAAAGCAGGCTAGATTATCTGTCGGTAAGGCCATGCTATTGTGCTGGTATAACGCTTGCTTTTGAAGAAGATGTAGTAGCTACTTTATGCATTTGTTCGATGAAGACAGATCTGTACTTATAGCAAAGGGCGAGGGTTCCAGACAATGTTGATAGCAAATTATTTGAATTCCGCAGCAACTGCATGAAGAAGTTGTCATGGCAGAATCAACGGGGAGAATTTTAGGTCAGGATTAATTATAGAAACATCCGGCAAAACCGACGCGGTTAGTGTTAAATGCGAACGGAGAGAGCAACAGATTTGACGCGCTGAACTTTTATTCATCCTAACATCTCATGCGTACCGACCGTTGTTTAAATGCACTTGCACGATTCGCTGCACGCCGATTTAGCACCCATCAAATCGCAGATCCTTGAGTCTTCGGCGGGACCAGAAATCCAGGTACTTCGCACGTTCTTCAAAGTAACCCACCTGAATCGGACTCAGCGCTTCACATTAAGCCGAGGTCGTGCGTTAGTTCTTCAAGAAACCAAGACTCTTGAGAGTTTGAGAGCTAAAATGTAAGTTCAGTATCCATTTCACGTGTCGGTATAAATATAATAGAGCGCTCTTGATCTTATTGCATATATATTGGACTATTTGGGGGAATGCCAACGTCTTCTGTAGTTGCCGACATGGGTACTTGATTGCTCGAGGGTTTTGAGGATTCTTAAATTATATGATGAAACTCATTTGCCGTACGATAATTTACGACAGCAAACTGTGGACATTCTTGTGAGAGGCATGGGTGTGTCGTATAAAACTTAACTGTCTGGTAACAGAAAATGTTGCCCGAAAGATTTTTTTCTCGACGATCATTCTGCTACAGTCTTCCCCAAAATACTATGACTGTGTAACTCGCCTTATCAAGTACATATATATGTGACGGGCAACTGTAATATTTGATGATTTTTTTAATGAACTGTTTACTTTATTTGTGTGTGCTTCACAGTTAAGAGCTGTACATGTACTGTTTATAATTGTTTTGTAGAATTGCAAAACCCGTCGACCCGCCATCAACGTTCGACCGTCAACGATCCAGTCTTCAGGATGGGCTACCGAGAGTCTATCAAAACTCCTGTCAACAGCCCCGAATCAAGGCGGTCATTTCAGTGCAGTCATCGGGTACCAGAAAGCTGCAGAATCCTTCCCCGCCGCCAGGTGGCAGTTTTTAGAGGGACGCTCCAGCAGGCCAATGCCGAAGACATAGTACAAAAGATGAAACCAAGGACGTCCTTGATGAAACCGAACTTTTCAGAAGAAAAACGCACCTCTCGCAGTAAAGAGGATCACACTAGCTCCCAAACATCCACAAAAGATGAAATAATGAGAGGAACGACCGCCGTATGTGACAGAACAGAAAGAAACGGTTACAAACAAACCGTGAAAAACAATGTAGACGCCTCTCGCAAGTCGGCATCAACTTCAGCGACCAGGTCATTGAAAACAGAACATGTTAGGAGACAAGCACAGCACATAAGCTCTCCAACAACACACAGACAGGCGCCAAGTAGTCATCACGGAAAACATCGTGGAAAGACTTTGTCCACTACAAGGTCTGCACCAGCCGCCGGGCGAAGTTCCTGGCGGACACAGTTGCCGCAGTTGTTTCTGTTGTACGAGCGGCAGTTGTGTGTTTCCTACCGACCCAGCGCCGTCCCTCCACCCGTACCAGAGCCGGTCATACCTGTGGTTCCTAGCAATTCCTCTTCAAGTGAGTTTGGAGAAAACTTGTTTGTTTGCTTCTTTGTCGGAGTCTTTGTTTATTCATGAAATACTCATATCGGCCTGCTGGCCTCTCAAGATATAGTTTCAAGATATAGGCTACCTCAGACTCAAACCTGTGGTCCGAAATAAAATAAATCAGAAATGTGTCCTACATCTAAGCGGTATCATATAACAGTTACGACTTGCATTGTGAACCAGAGCATGTAGTTGTTACTTACTCTGCATTTGAAATTACCATATTTGACAACAGGTTTTCTGGTGTTACCTGGTGTAGTTTTAAACTTTTAGGTAGAAGGATTATATATGTATAACTTTTACTAGTATATCCTCGGTACCTTTCACCCCTGTATCATTCTGCCTTGCTGTCGTTCAGGTTCCCGCCGCATGAGGCGCTACAGCACGGGCCGGCGGATGAGCGTGGCCTCAACGGCAACCTGCTCGGCGTTCGACCAGTCCATCCGTCCGCAGCACGCGCACGGCAAGCCCCGGCAACAACGCCCAAAAGCCCGGCGGCTCTCTCTCCACTCCGCCGACGGGAGGAAGGACGCGGACCGCGGGAACATGGGCACCTGGGCGGTGAGGAGGTTTCTCCGCAGGAGTCTGCCCGACGAAATCCTGGAGGATCACGAAGCGCAGGATGAAGCGATGCTTGAGAAGTTGCCGTTCGTCACGACTCTTCAAGACATTACGAAACCGTCTAAGAAAGCGACTCGCAGGAATTCAGTTGTTCTCAATGCATATGCAGCAGTGCAGAAGTAAAACTGCAGAAATAAAACTGGCAAAAGAAATTAGTAAATGAAAAACACATATTGAGAAAAAGATCAGTCAGATCCCAAGACTTCAAGACTTTCCAAGTCACAAGTCTTCAAGACTTTCCCAGGCCGTCTAATAAACTGACTGGCAGAAATTCAGTCGTCTTGAGGGACAGCAGTGCAGAAGTAAAACTGGCAAAAAAATTAGTAAATGAAATAGAAATACATGTATAGCTTCAAGACTTTCAAGATGTACACAGACATATATCTTTTATTCAGGTTCCGAGACAGCCCAAGGAAATAAAGTAACTTGCAGGAATTCAATCTCCCTCAAGGACATCAGTGCAGAAGTAAAACTGGCAAAAAGAATTAGTAAATAAAATGTACACAGACATATATGGTTGATTCAGATTCCGAGACAGCCCAAGGAAATAAAGTAACTTGCAGGAATTCAATCACCCTCAAGGACATCAGTGCAGAAGTAAAACTGGCAAAAGGAATTTGTAAATAAAATGTACATAGACTTATATGGTTGATTCAGATTCCGAGACCGTCTAAAAAAACAACTGGCAGGAATTCAATCACCCCCAAGGACATCATTGCAGAAGTAAAACTGGCAAAAGGAATTAGTACCTAAATGTACATAGAAACATATCTTTGATTCAGATACGTTTAAGCAGACGGCCTCGAAATTAATGGGAAAAACTACAAGACAAGAGTTAGACAGACAATGTAATCTTACCGTAGCCTGGCCTTGTCCAGTTTTAATTTCCTCACGTCTGGAGAACTTACAGCGTGGGTTGCTAGCTGTCGTTCTCAGTTTTACAGTACATATGTTATATAACGGAATGTAATAGATTCTTGCGTTAAGCGAATATGGCAAAACTGATCAAAGTGAGTGAGCGTGTAAAAAGGTGCTGAAAAAGATGATTAGGTGTTAGGCACCTGACTGTATATTTGTACATTGTGTGAAGAAAAAATGTACATATACATGTAATACGTTCGCTGTATCAAGGTCTTACTTCCTGTTTTGGAATACAGTTGCTTTTTATTGGTAAGTATTTTTAGGAGTATACCTATGCTAACATTTTTATTGTCAACACTGTCATTGGCTAAATGTACATAACATGTATCTCTGTCTCAGAAAATTGTAACCTAGTTCTTACTCAAACTTTACTTCTTATTTTCGCCTCCTGAATTAGGTATTTCTAATTAGGTCTTTCCAGATGATAGATTCAGGAAGCGTTGTTTGAGGCGGATGAGATTTAACTAACCATATTCCAGTCACGCCGCCTGCCTGAGTAGACCGGTAACGGCTCAAGAATCCTTGGCTCCAGTTAAGGCCATGTTGATTTGATTATATGGATGACATCCGCGCGCGCATGAATTTTCGGCCGTTTCCAAAAAAAAAAAGTTTTACAACCATACTGTAAATCGTGCTAAATGAGCAAAAATATACCATAAGTTGCAAGGAAAACATTTAGAAACGATACTAATGTCGTAGAATGCCAAAATCAAAGGAAAAAGGACAAAAATGTAAAGAAATGAATTCGAAGAGTAGATTATTCGCCATAACATATTCTGTGCCATTTGTTCCACCTTCTTGACCACGTAGATTTCATAGTGAAAGCAACTTTTTTTTGCAAAACTTTTTTTTATTCGCACGCGCGCATCAGTTTTGGGGTTCCCAGAGGATGTCATCCATATAATCAAATCAACATGGTCTAAATCCCGAACCAAACCCATGCACCTGTGCCAGTTTCTCGCAGCCTTAATCAACAGAGTGACCCTGGCCTTCTGACCCAGACCTAACTACGGGTTAACAAGATCACGAATCTTCACGGAAGTGGGACTTAAGAGGGTGTTCGGATCAATTTCTAGGCGCTATCGCATCTCATCAACAAGTTGTTCCCACTTAGGAGAAGATGGCGTCTTTTATGTCATGTAAATTTATAACTCTTCGCAGGCCACCAAATTTCCTGCGCTTTATCCAAGGGAAAACTGAAGTAACCCTAGGTGCGCTTGAAATTCCCTAAATAGATATCTCAACATATCTTTTATTGATATCAATTTAGATACCGGTAATTTAAAAGTAACTTAAGTGAATCTACGCACGCAACTGCGAAAACTTGAGTAACCTGTGGTGCGTTTGAAATTACCTAAATTCGTATCTAAAAATAAATTTAAAGATATCAATTAAGGGAATTTCAAAATCACTCGAGTTTAAATTGCTTGCATTGTGATTTTTTGAAAAACAAATTATCGGCAATTTGTCATTTTTTAAAAACAAAATTACCTGCAGTTTTTTTTCTCTGTAAAGATCAAGACCATAGGGCTGACTTAAAGTATTGGACAGGTTTGCTCTTTGCGCATGCGCTATCCTTAAGCGTACGTGAACAGTAAACGTGGCCCTGTCTGTTCCCTTCACGTGGCGAGTGTGGTCGTGTTTTTTCTTTCGTCTCGATTCGGAGAGTCGTCCGCGATATGTCTTTGGTTTAGTTTCCTTCATTTTCAGTATTACTAACATTTCTGTCATCTGAAGATACCTTCTGACCACACTTCGTCACATTCTGTCATTTTATTTCGACTTCAATTCAGCGATTTTGTCCACACAACAGACGCTCCGTTGCCCGCACACTTGTAATAGAGGAGGAGACGTCGACTGCGCAGCCCAGGCGCAACATTTCTCACCATATCGCACACTTGTTGCGGGCGGAGGGACCGTAATTTCTCGAAGCTGGTAGGCTAAGGTAAGCTACTAGGTAGTAGTGTGTGGTTTGATTTTTTTTTCTGATAACTCATTTATGAAGGTATAAATGAATGACAAAATGCAGTTGTAAGAGCGATTTATGCTGATATTTACATTTCATTCCCGTTAGTGTGATATTTTATCCCCTACCAGGCACTACGGATCACTGGAAAAATAGTAGAAATTGGCCGAAATAAAGGGATAGTATACTAGAGTTAGCCGGCCAGAGAGGATCCAATGTGCGACCCACGGGCCGGCTAACTCCCCTGGTGTACTATTCCCTTTATTTTGGCCAATTTTTACTATTTTTCCAGCGATCCGCGATGCCTGGTAGAGGCTATGATTCTTACGACCTCACAACCGTGACGATTCGCGGCTCGTTAAAAGCCATTAGGTACCGTCATAACAACATCGCCCTTCGCGGGGACACCATTGATATTCTCCGTGCCTCAGCAGTTTGCTGGGACCGGTTCCTCCGTGATTTGATCGTGTAGACTTCGGTTTGTGAAAACGCTGACAAAGGCGCAATGCCAGTCCTTTCAAGCCTTCTTAAATGTCTTATTCATATGAATGTTTTAGAACATGAAGCTTGGAACATAGAGTGCTACAAATCATCTGTTTATCTTTCAAAATTTTGAGACTGCCCGCGACGACCATTTAGGCCTATCTGATATTCTCTTTTCTCCATGTTCATGCATGGTCACAGGACGTTTGTTTCATGTTATGGACGTGTAACTCTATCATATTGGGTGTCTGGTGGCATGAAAGCTGTGAGTGCTGACAAAGAAAAATATACTTGTTGCTGCTAATAGCTTCTTCTTTGTAGCCGTTGACACCAAACAAAAAAAGCTTTCGCGAACCCACGCACTTGTTCTGTTAAAGCGAGATCCTAAAACTTAATCTCTGTAAAGCTTTTACAATTAGAAGTCTGGGCTCGACCTTCTTGTTTATCTAGTGTTTCGTTCAAACATGACCAGAGGTAGAAAAGGTTTGTTTCATGATATAGACGTGTAACGCTATCATATTGAGTGTCTGGCTGACAAAGGAAAATCCACTTGCTGCCGCAAATAGTTGCTCCTTTGTAGCCACTGATGGACACTAAATCCAATTTTTGTCGAACCACCACCTGATGTCTACAAGCAAAATCTTAGAACTAGAGATGCTAGAAAAATCTTTAGAACTGGAGATGAAAACGTAACACAGAGGGCTGCAAATCATCCGTGTAGCTTTCAAGATTGGTAGTCTGGCCATGACGACCTTTTAGTCTAGCCAATATTCCAGCAATGTTCAAAACATGCCCACCGCGCCCCTGTAGCGTCCAGCCCGCCCGAAAGTTTCCGCCCCTCAATTTGCGCGAGGTGATGTAAACACAGGCTGTACATGACCGCAGGTCGGGAGGGTTGTCTCAGAACCACATCGATCCGCAACTTGAAACGCTGAAGATCCTCGGGAGGCAGTCCTCTGGGACTGATGTAATATACAGACATAATGAAGCCTCAGGCTTGGCTGACTTTGCACACAGTACGGTCGTGGGCGGAGGGGAGATCGGGTGAACTGATGCAGCATGGAAAATATCCGCCGGATTACGGAGGGCTGTAGATAGTGCCCCTAATCTTTCGTCTCGCAGGATGCAAAGATAACTACAACAAAGATCAGGGAGATGATTCGTGCAAGAGTACGTTGTGATAAATGACTTTAAAAACATCCGAAGCAATTGCAGGGCGCAAAACAAAAAAATATTCTGGATGAGAAAATCTGCCTGATGTTAACTGCCATTTCTTAGCACATCTTCATCATCATTGACTACTTGAGGCGTTTGACATTCTAGTCCCAAAACGAGCTAGGATAGGAGTCTCTTTATTTTTTTGTACCACTAATAAATAGCTAGAACCAGCCTACGATACAAATCAAGGGACCGTTTTTCGCCAGCGACATCGCATTTTTACTTCGCCTGACAGATACATGTATCAGTATGCTATGGGATACGGTTGTTCTAACTTTAATACTACTTTAAAAACATGACCAGAACATTATCTTTGAAAATCCAGTTTTACTGCTCTTTGAGTGTCTTTAAACTACAAAACGAGCCTGTTTTCTTCACACAATTACTGTGGCACTGCTACTGGGCCAATTGTTATGATATCATGTTAAAGTTAGAGTACTTTGCAAAACTGTAGAGAAGACTGTAACGGTCTAGTAGTGGAATGATTTATGTACACTGTCTAAGTGCGTTACTTTCAAAAGCAATATCACGTTAG